ACACCCGCCAGCTGGTGGATGATGCGTACATGGCCACGCCCACATTGGTGTGTGGATGTGGGTGTGGGTGTGCATACACATGCACATGGCAAAACGCCCTAGCAGCCGTCTTGCCCTGGTGGGTGCATGCCATGGCGACTCGCGCACAAAAAAGAAACGTCGATGCAACCTCGGACCAGCAGGCCATGCATCCTGTTCCTGAATGGTTCCCAGACCGCCAGATGCCAAGCCACATCGTCAGCTGCAGCCCTCACCACCACTACCACTACCGCTACCACTACCACTACCGCTACCACTACCACTACCACTGTCACCACCACCATTCACCCACTACGCTCCACGTGCCTTGTAGCCCTCTCTCCCCTCCCCAGTCCATGTATGCGTGTGCATGTGTGTGTGATATGTAAAGTGCCGCCATCCCCCTCGCAGATACATGTCGCTCCTCCCCATGCCTGGCTCTCCTGCTTCCTCGTGGGCCCTCTATCGCGCCCGTCTGCGGCGCGTCTTCCATGGCGCTGATCCGCGAGTGTGTGCGGCTTTCTGGTTGTTTGGTATGCCTCTTCGCCCTCCTGCAATCTCCCTGCATGTCCAATATCCAGCCTACAGACACCCCCGCTCACCAGCTCTAGGCCTCATCAACAACGTCCTCTACGTAATCATCCTCTCCGCCGCCCTCGATCTCGTAGGCCCCAACGTCCCCAAGGGCGTCGTCCTCCTCGCCGATGTCCTCCCCTCGTTCCTCACAAAACTATGCGCCCCCTACTTCATACACAAGATCCCCTACCATGTCCGCATCGTCGCCTTTGTCGCCCTATCCGCAGCCGGCATGCTCATCATCGCCCTCACCCCGCCCTTGCAGGACTCGGCTACGATCGCAATCAAAATGTGTGGCGTCATGATGGCCAGCCTCAGCAGCGGGGGTGGCGAGCTTAGCTTCCTCGGCCTCACCCATTTCTACGGCCACTTTGCACTGGCTTCCTGGGGCTCCGGTACGGGTGGTGCGGGCTTGATCGGTGCGGGCGCATACGCCATTGCGACAAACACACTCGGCATCGATCCCCGCACAAGCTTGCTTGTCTTTTCCTTCCTACCCCTGGTTATGATTTTTAGCTTTTTCTTTGTCCTCCCCCTTGGCCCACTTCGCGCTGGCACCAGTAAGCATGCCGAGTACGAAGCCATCGACGATGAAGAACCAAACGCCGCCGACGAAGAAGAAGAAGCAACAGAGGCCAGGGAGCATGATGACCTGCTCTCTTCCTCCATGCACTCGGCCTCGGGCCGCACCTTTAGCTCCGCCAACAGTAAGCCTGCTAGTAGTGCGCTGAGTAGCTTCCAGGCCAATCTGAACCGTGCAAGAGGCTTGTTCTTTCCTTAGTAAGTCACCCACCCCATGTCACCTAGCCAGCCACTTGCAACTGACACACTCCAGCATGCTGCCTCTTCTCCTCGTCTACATTGCCGAGTACACAATCAACCAAGGCATCGCGCCTACCTTGCTGTTCCCTCTCGAATCCTCCCCCTTTGATGAGTACCGCTCCTTTTACAGCACCTACAATGCAATCTACCAGGTCGGTGTTTTCATCTCACGCTCTTCAACGCCCTTCATACGCATCCATCATCTCTACCTTCCTTCCTTTCTTCAAGTCGGCAATCTCATTCTGCTCGCGCTGCACGCCATGTTTGCATTCATCCCAAGCTACTATATTGTCTGCATCATCATATTTTGGGAAGGTTTGTTAGGCGGCCTTGTTTACGTCAGCACGTTTGCTGAGATAACCGATAATGTGCCCAAGGAGGACAGGGAGTTTAGTCTGGGTGCGACAAGTGTAAGTGACTCGGCTGGCATCTGCATTGCTGGCTTCTTGGGCATGATTGTTGAGGTGAGTCTCTGTCGCTGGCAGGTAGAGCATGGGAGAAACTACTGTAAGCTACAATAGAACTGGACAGTATACATTGTTGTTTTGCAAACTGTTCTTGGGTATCCTCTTTTCCATGAAATTCCTCTTCTTCTGATTGTTCCGTTGTACCCATCTGGCCCTGCTGAACCACAATTGATGAATCCACCTCGTTCTTTCCCCAACAGTTTCAAACCAAACTACGTATTCACTCACACCCACTCTTGTCCACAACATCACTCACACAGTATCACCATTACCAGGCATCACTTCAAATACCACAAGGCATATTCATTCCACACCATCTGTAGCCACAATGTCATTTCCGACTCCAGCCAGTACAGCAACCAACGACGCACCTCTACACCCACAGCAACAACAGCAGCAGCAACCGCAGCAGCAGCAACCGCAGCAGCAGCAACCGAAGCAAGAAGACTCACCCCGCTTCAAACCCGTAGCCTCCATCACCGAAGTCCCCAGCCTAGCCTCCACCTCCGCCCGCCCCTTCACCATCGCCGAACTCGAAAAAACACCCCAAATCTTCTTCACCTTTCCCACCATCGTCGTACGTTTTGCCCTTTTCCCCCAATCCCCCCCCCAAAAAAAGCCCCAACGAAGAGAAAAGGACAAAGTACTTGTACATCAATAAGAGACTAACCACAAGACACCAAACATTTCAGAAACTCAAAAATCACGGTACAGTCCAAGTCAACAACGCAGCACACATGAGCGCCTTACTCTTCTGGTACCGCTTCAACTCGGGCGAGTACAGTGATGTTGAGCTCAAGGGGTTGGCGACGAAAATGGAGGTTGGGCGGGCGACGATGCGCAGGGAGGAGTATGATGATGGGTGGGTTGTTGATGCGAGTTTGAGGGAGGGGCCTGAGAAGGAAGGGAAGGAGAAAGAGGAAGAGGAGGGTGGTGGGGAGGAGAAGATGGAGGTGGAGGTGGATGTGAAGGAACAGGTGGAGGTGGAGTAGAAGGGGGCACTTTGTGTATCTGTCTGGAAGGCGGAAGGGAGAGACTGCTAGACCAAAGGTTGAGTAAGAATGTCAGGTCATCGAACATGCTGGGAATAAGTCACTGTGTCACTTCTCTGACTTGTAAACCACCAGTCACTTTAACACTACAACCCACCCACCCAAATCATACACACTCAAATCACTCCCTCATTCATATCTGCATAAATCAAGGTGGTCGACGGTAATAAATTGCTCTTTTTCCGAGACTCATCTAAAGTACACATCTCCCTTCCCTCACTGTCCATTCATCGTATGCACAGACACTCTTATCAGCTTACAAAGCCTCGGTGAGGAGCTTGTTCATCTTGGCCATCTTGTTGGCGACAGACAAGTCAATCGTGCGGTCGGCAATCTCGACAATAAGTCCACCACGGATCTCTGGGTTGACCTTGGGCACAACCTTGAGCGTCTGGCCGCTGGTTACGTATTGCGAGTTCTTGATGGCAGTCTCAAGGCGGCTGATTGTCCGGTTGTCAAGGGGCTGCTCTCTTTGTCAGTCATTTGGATCTCATCAACACCATTTCTCTCCCGCCCTCCATCATATTCGAGTTCGGGACACTCTCCAATATCTAGAAATTTCTACGTACCGCAGCGCTGGTAACGGTAAGTTCGACCTCACCACGGTGCGCACCCATGAGTACGCCAAACTTCTCAACAACACCCTTCAACACGCTCAATCGGTTGTTCTCGGCGAGAGTGTTGAGCAGGTTCTTGACGATGCCCTCCTTGTCAGCGCTGCCAATGTGCTTCTGGAGCTCCTGGACAATCTGCTGCTTATCCGACACAGACAGAGAAGGCGCATGGAGGATCTCGTTGAGCTTGGCATCCTTCTGGAAGACACCCTGGAGGTTCGACAGAGACTTGGCCGTGGGCTCGAGGGCGTTGGTCTTTGCGGCCGCGGTGTACTAACACACATAAAATGTTAGCCAAGCTTTCCTCTTGTCCAAAACTCTCCCATTGTTTCCCTTTGTTTTGCATCCTCCCAACCATTGCTAAATGGCCAATTGAACTCTTGGAAGTCGTACCAGAGCGCTCGCGTAGGTTCCGTCAACGCCGAAGAGGGCAACCGGGGGCTTGATGGCAGAGCCAGATGGAGCGGCGGCGGCGTAGCTTCGAGTAGCGGCGTAGCGGGCAGCAATTGGGGCGCGGGGCGCACCGGCCCGGAAAGCGGTGCTGAAGGCTCGAGCTGCAGACATGGCGGGTAGAGAGGAGATGGATTGCGGAGATGGGGGGCAGCTTTCGGGATCGCGGGTTGCTGATGAGGATGCTGCGATGAGGTTTCTGAGCGGGCTCGGCACTGGGTTGCGACTATCCCCGATTCGGCTGTGAACCATGTTCTCACGACAACTTCAACCTCCCCGCTTCTTTACTATCTTTGTCATCGAATTAGATTTTAGACGTGTGATGAGAGTAATAACCGTATCTCATGAGCCGAACTCAGTGCTTTTGGTTTTTCTCAAGTAACACAATGCCGGCATCAGGGCTACCTAAGGAATTGGTAGTGTACAGGAGCAAATAGCTTAGCCAAGTAGTGTCAGATCTCTTGTTCTGTAGTGTGGGTCATGCATTGGAGTCGACTCTTCAAAGATTTCGTGATGAACTCATGTTCTCGAATTGCGCCCGCTCTACCCGACCATCTTTGTGTACCAGGTGAGGCATTTCAACAAACTAGTAGTCGATCAAAATCTCCACCCGAATTATCAAATCTACCTTCTCCATCAGTATAACCTGTACGACGCAAGTGACTGAGCAGCATTTCAGTCCACTATATTCCCTCACATCATTCTAGTGCATCAAATAGGAACGGCTTTCACTTATGCATAAACGTACATCTCAAATCATATATTCATTTATTCTCTTTTCATCGAACACGATCCAGTATACTAGATATTACCTTTAGTATGACATGCAATGTAACCACATGTACTGCTCCAAATGAGGGTGTCTTGGCCCAATCTATTCTCCCATGCCAAGTCATGATGTATATCCAGGATTTCCCAAAATCCTTTTCCGATCCCAAAGCGCCGCGCTACGATACAAACTCAACCATGAACGCTATTAGTCTGACCACCCAAATCACTTTTTAAAATAATACCAGCAACCAACCTGCAGCGCCAACGACCAGGCTCTCAACCCATCTGTCAATGCCTGGATGCTGTACTGAGGCACCAACACCTTTGCTGGTTTGGCCTACACCACTCGCAATAAGATCGCCAGCGTCGCGACTTGTCGTTACAGATGCCATGCTTGAGCTGGTAGCACTTGCACTGTTACTCTTCGGGAGACTGTGCACAGTGCTCGTCTGCCCGTTGATGATCAAGGCTGTACCTGACTTGTCCAAAGAGTATGTTGTTCCATCCATTTCAACCGTAGAACCAGGTGCAAGCGTCGTGCCGTCACCTAACACGTACTCTGTTGTTCCGTCCCTTACTTTTTGTGTGTATGTGACATCATTGATCGTCAGCGCAGGAGCAGGTGTTAAAACAGCATCAGGAGTCATGGTAGATGTAACGCCGTTGATCACGACAACACCGGCTGGTGCGCCTTCAGGAAAGGAGTATGTAGTTCCCGAAATGGTAAGAGCGCCGCCGGGTGTGAGGGTTTGACCAGGAGCGGGTACGTAAGCTGTTTGACCATTGATCACAACAACACCACCCGGTGCGCCTTGAGGCAGAGAATATGTAATCCCGGCAAGGGTAAGAACTCCACCGGGCGTGACAGTTTGGCCAGGAGCGGGTACGAAAGCTGCTTGGCCATCAACCACAACCCAACTGCCTGCGCCTACCGCCTGACCAGGCGCTACAACACCGACCGTCAAACCCCCGACTACTGTCGTAAATATGGTATGATCACCAACAACCGACGCAGGAGGAACAGTAACAGAGGGCGGAAGCCCAGCAGTAATAGTCTGTGTGGCGCCATTGACAACAGCAACACCACCAGGGCCAAGACTAACAGTGTTTCCATTGACAATGACCGGTGGACCTCCTGGCTTCAAAGTTTCTGTTCCGAAGACAAAATCTCCTTGTGGATTGGCAGCGATTGTCCCCCCACCGACAGTGAGCACGGGAGGTCCTGGTGTTGCCGCTGCATCAAGAGCAACTGTGCTACCGTCCACAATAATCCTTGCTCCCTCACCATTCCCGGGAATGATAACAGGGACTCCATCGATGGTTTGAGTTTGCCCTGGTCTGAGTGTCTGGCCTCCAACGACGATCACAGGAGGGAGCCAATTCGAAAAGTCTTGATCTTGGTGACCTGGTCTACCAGGCTCGCCTGTGACAGGTCCAGCCGGGCTTGCAATCGGTCCAGGCGCATTTGGGGTTGGTCCAGGCACATTCAAAGGCCTAGGTATGTTGTCACTTGGTTGGTTGAGCTCATTTGGCGGGGGTACAAAATTATGTATGTCGGGTCTGCCCGCAGGAGTTGGTGAAGGCAAATCAGCTTTGAGCGACACCGGGGAGTCAGGGAGGCACCTCAAACAACCTCGCACCGTATTATGGACGGAAGTAGACTCGTACGTTGTCGAGAGGAAAGTCGATGTTGTTGGCGACGCCAATATCGGTTGAGACGTGGGTGGGGCAGCAAGAGGGGGAGGCAGCCCCATACCAGTAGATAAGGGGGTACTAGGAGGGACACCAGGAAGGGCCAATGATAGCTGGAGGGAATCACTGAGGCTGGGTCTCTCAAAGGAACATGAAGCAAGATCCAGACCCCGAAATTGCGACTGAATGGCTGGTTCTTGCTCCAGGTAATGAAGGACCTGGGTGGGTAACGGGAAATTGTATTGGCCTTTAGTAGTTGTTGGCAGTGGTTCCGTGTGAGTTACTACCAAATGGGTCCAGTCTTGTAGTGCAGTCCTGGGTGGCTCCCAGTCTTTTAGCGAAGTCTCCTTGGGCACACATTGCGCGAAAGTCTGGTTCTTCTGGGAAAAGCGCAAGCTGAAATGTTGGTCAGGTCCACCAAATATATGGTTGTAGATAACGTAGGTGGGTCCTGCATCGAACTGTAGGCGTACCCCATCCGTAACCTCTACAGTGAACGTGGGCGTAGTGTGAGTAATGATTTCATCGTTACTGCCTGTAACGGTTTTTGTTTGATTGACAGTGTGCTCCTGGGTAACGACCGTGTCGATGGTGCCGTTGTTCATGTAGGTGATGTACTCAGTAACGATGGTCTCGGTCACAACCGTGCTAGTCCAGCGTACCAAAAGCCCTGTAGAATCAAACCAAGTAGTTATAGGACGTTTGGCTGCAAGCAAGCAGCCTGTGCAAGATGAGTTACATGTGGAACACGCCGTTTGGTTGCCTGTGTTAAGTTGTGGTAAATAGGTTGGTGGCAAAGGAGGAGTGTAAGTGATTACTGTAGGTTCCACTGGCGTCGGGCTGCTTGTAGGCGTCGTATTTGTGTATACTGGACCTGAAGGCCGGGGACTGGGCGCAATTGGTGCATGCCCAGGGCTCGCGTCAAAATGAGGAGCAAGTGTCATGGGCAATCCAGCTTCTTGACCATTGTCCGGAGCGAGGAGAGGAGATGCAGGCTGTGGGGCTTCGGGAGCGTGCCATTCCTCATGTGGAGCATCAACCGGAGGAGAGGGATTCCAAGAAAAGAGGTCTAGGGCGATCAATCCTTCTGCTGTGTACCTACAAAGTTGGGTGCTGCAACATACCACCTGGGAATGATTAGTCACGAGGAAACATGACTGGTAAAGAGAGAGTCAGTGTAGTTGATGGGGTACATACTGATTACATGTTTGACTCTGGATTCCACGCCAATGGCGAACAAGACAGGCACATATAAACGAGCGAATGTGCGCATCTTGCTATGATTTCCCCTTACACAAAGCGAGTGACAGTGCAAAGGTCAAAGCAAGACGTTGTTGCAGCGTAGCAGCGACGAGAGGAAACTAGCGAGTGATGCTCGGATCGGGTAGGTTTGATGATGGCAGACCAAGTGCATATGCCGCACTGAATGACGGCGGTCCATGCGCTTCTCCTGGTGGCACCAACCTTGGCAGAGCGACATGCCGTGGACGCGTATGTACTCACATGTCCTGTATATGCTGCTGTGTCAGGAAATGCTCACACTCTACCTGTGCTCGACGACAACGTGCTGCCAGTAAGCCCAGCGCCTTTCACCTGGTACCAGGCCTTTCCATTTCCATATGCTCTGCCACTGCCGAAGTGAACTTTGCTGCTAGCTACAAGCCCGAATCGGTAGTATATCGACGACGCTGACACTGGGGCCATGGCAAACTCTGTCCTAAGCTATCCACGTGATTACGTCCCCTTGGAACCGCCATCCGCGCGGCCGACGAAATTCGGGCGTGGCAATGGAAGAGGGCAGCGACGGCAGCGTTGCGCCAGCGCAAACAGAGGGGCAGTCCAGGCCATGACTGAGTTGTGTATGCGTGTACATTTGGTGCGTAGGCACGTACTACTGACATACTATGTACACAGATATGTATTGCGTCTGAAGAGGCACAGGCAGGCGGCTTGCGACATTTTCGAGCCACTACCCCAGACTGCCAAGCGTCGCCCGGTGGATATGGACATGACACTGGCAGCAACGGCATGAGCTCAACAGGAATGGCATTGAACAAGACGGCAGGGTGGTTGTGCCAGATAAGTGAATGGAGGCTGACATGACCAGCAGCGAGCTCCGCCACCGCCACCTCCTATTGGTTGCGAGCCCAGCACGACCAGAAGACCATCCCTCAACATGACTTCACCCTTGTGCCGCTCTCATGCCATCTCGTATTCACCGCCCTACATTTCGCACTAGACAGGCTTCCAGTAAGCTTAGGATGATGAGCACGGCCGCTGATCGTCGTCTCGGGAGCCATGGAGCCACTCCGCGGGTTGCCGTTGCACATCCATCTCATTCCTTCAAACCTTCGCGACTTTTCGACGCCAGCCTCCCGGTAACTGAGACTGGGTTGATAATTCTCCGACCAAGGGGTCGGCACACCATGTCACTCGCACCCCACCTCGTCCACTGACTAAGGCCCTGCGCCCTTCCCCTCAATGGGCTTCTGCTTGCTCACCTCCCTACCCTTCCTGCATCATGAGTCTCGCTGCGCGGGCAACGGGCGCCCCCGCGCCCTACACTGTTCCTCCCTCGGGCAAGTTCGACGGTGCTGATGGCAGCTGGAGCACCTTCAAAGTCAGTGTTGGGTCGCCCGGCCAGGATTTCCGTCTAATACCGAGCACCAAAGCAGGCGTCACATATGTAATTGCTCCAGAGGGTTGCTTGGCTGGAGTCGACCCCTCAAACTGTCCCCAGCTTCGCGGAATCGAAATCTTCAATAGTGCGCAAAACACCGGCTTCCAGGTCAACGCGTCGTCAACATGGTCAGCGATAGGGCAGTTCGAAGTCGATTTGGAGGAGGGCCTCAACTACACCGGACGAGGCCTGTTCGGAACTGACGTTGTGTCCCTGGGAGCCGCTGCCGATCACGGCTCGTCTCTATCCCTCACAGGTTCCATCGTCTCTGCTATAGCGGATCCTGACTTTTATCTGGGAATGCTTGGGCTCGGCCAGGTCAAATCCAGCTTCAACAGCCAAAGCCAGCCAGTCGATTCGACGCTCTATCAATTACGCAACAACAAACAAATACCCAGTTTTTCCTACGCATATACGGCAGGCGCAAAATACCGATTAAAGTCTGTCCTGGGAAGTCTAATTCTTGGGGGCTACGATGCGACACGATTCGACACCGTCACTGACAACCTGTCTTTTACATTTTCCCAGGACTCTTCTCGGCTTCTGACCGTCGGTGTCAACTCAATAATGGCCACCAACACGCTGCATGGAACGTACTCCCTCACTTCTGGTGCACACTTTTCCGTTATCGATTCAACTGTGCCACATTTGTGGTTGCCTGAGAGTGTTTGCGATGAATTCGAAACCGCCTTTGGACTCACTTATGATCCCCAAACAGGCCTTTATCTTGTTAATGATACTATCCACGAAGAACTGGTCTCGAAGAACCCGACGCTTACCATTAAGCTTACCAACTCGCTGGACGGTGCAACAACCAACTACACCAATATCCAACTGCCATATGCTGCGTTTGATCTGCAAGCTTCGTATCCTTTCTACCAAAATGCCACAAACTACTTCCCGATCCGCCGCGCCGCAAATGAATCGCAATACGTACTTGGCCGAACATTGTTACAGGAGGCATACTTGATCGTCGACTATGAGCGGGCAAACTTTACGGTTGCGCAAGCAGTGTTTCCCGACCCCCTACCTCCTGCCGAAGTCATTGCAATCGTGTCACCAAGCGACTTACCAGCAATCCAATCCTCATCGTCAGATCTCAGCACCGGCGTAATTGTCGGAATAGCAATCGGAGCAGTCGCAGGTATCGTTATTGCCATTTTAGCATTCTTCTTCTGTTTCCGTAAACGACGCGGCAAGAAGCAGGCACCGAACAATCAACAATACGAATTGGCAGGCAAAAACATTTCCGAAATCGAATCTGGAAACAACATGTCGTCCAGTATCTTACCACTCAAAGATCCAGGTCCACAAGAACTCAATGGCACACCATTGCTAGAGCTTGCATCTCCTGCCAACGACCATGCAGTCGGACATGCCTACCCACAAGATCAAAAAACAGTCGTCCAGGTAACGGACGAACCACAAGAGCTGCATGGTGAGTCGATGATACCAATAACACCCAAATGGCAGGAGGTACAAGCACCGCCGCCGACTTACCACCACGACATGGATGGAGAAAGTAGCACCAGCCATGGTGTGAGCACGATGCTGAGTGACAGCACAATTACACCCAGCGATTCGAACACACAAGTTTTAGTTTCACCACTTACGCCTCGGATCTCTCAGTACAGGTATTGATGATTGGGTTGGCATTTTCTTCAGCATACAATTGGCGTTTGGTTATCATGTTTTTTGAGATACCACTTACATGTAGAAAAGGTCGGGGTTGTATGCATTTCTGGCGAGAGTGTAAATCCAGTAATATCCTATTTCTATGCCCTCAAACGAAGGGTGAATCGGCATTCAATATTTTTGTATATACCGATAATATTACATAATACTATCGAGCCTCTGTACATGTGCTCAAGGCTTCTTCTCGGATATTTCCGATTTCTTGGATAACAGGGCCGACCGGATGGATGTGTTCTCCACTTGAGGAGAGTTTTGCGAACAGCAAACATGTGCATGACACACACGTCACCTATGGATAAAAATGGTAGAAATTGTGTATAAGCGTTGGTGTCAACACTTTTCGCTACCGTCCATGTTTCCCTCAAGTCTGATGTGGTAGCTAAACCCATGCAGGTGCTCCCGCACACATTGGGCCGAATCGGGGATCCATGTCCAATGTAACCCAATGAGGACATGCGATCCAAAAGAACTATGTCTGTATGAATGTCAAGCCGCAACAAAAGTGGCCTTAGTTCATTCGTAAATGAAATCATGAACCGTGCCTCAATAGATCCACTCATAACAAGGCAGCTGGTAGTTTGATTGCCTCCAACCTATGACGTATGCGCCACGCATAGCTGGTAGCCATCACCCCTCATCCCCACGCCTCCTTCTCCCTAGACAACACCCCAGACACCTAACCTTTGCTCTGTTTACACATCTACGCTCATAACAAAACCCTGCAGCGAATACTCCCTAGCCAACAAACCTAGAATTTCCAATCAGCAATGGACAAAATCAAGGAGAAGCTCCACATTGGCAGCGGTCGCCGCAAGTCGCAGCCTGACAACGACTTTGCTACCGGCACCGGTCATGTCGGTACTATTGAGGGTACGTAATGAATACCACATGTTACATGAAAACTTCACATCCGCAAGTTGTTGTCCCTTTCACCGATTTCTAACGAAGGGTTGAGCATGCGTAAGACTTCAGCCTCATCACTAACAACGAAAACAGAAAACCGTGACTCGATCGACTCTGAACTTGCAGCGATGCCTCCACACGAGCGTGTTGCCTACCTGAAAGAATTTGAAGAGTCGGATAAGGCCGACGCACCCAAGAAGGGGGGCCTCATCGAGAAACTCATTGCCCGAGGCAACAAGAAGACCGAAGACCAGATTGCAGCAGAGACCAGGGAGCGCGAGGCACGCGAGAAAGCTCACCGCGAAGCAACGCACGCAGCCATGGGTCCTGGTGCGGGTGCTAGCGCTCAATCAGCTGCAGGCCCCGGTGGCTTGTAAGCGATATCGATGAAAGAGTGCCAATGAACTGCGAATGCGAAAGAGTGGGAAAAACATTACTTTATGACTATCGACCATGAAGAAAACCTTTTTGGGGGGCGATGGACTGCAGATTCCATACATACTATTACCAACATGACGATCAATGACATCAATCTGAGCTGAACTCTGAACTCCTGGGATTTGCATGATGCAACGGCCGGAAGTAATGCGTAATCGGGTAGTTGAACACAAGGAACTTTGAAACCTCTACTGACAATACTATGTTTTACAATCCTTTAGACATTTCTGGGCCCCTAAACTTGATGCTATGCAGTTGTGCACAACATTGCCTCGTTCTCTATTTCCCTCTGATCCATATGCCCACATCTTCAATAACGACGTCAACAGCGGTGCCGTTAAGTTACTCGTGAGAGAGAAAGAAATCGTTACAAGACAGTGTCATATACAAAGTCTAATCCAAAACGTTATACCGAACACATGAAATTAAACATGAACCCTCCCTTTTCACTGTCGGAGTCTTCCTGTTCATTTGCTCGCCTACGAAGCTGGTATATTACAAAGAAAAATAAAGATGCGTGCTCATTACATCTCTCCCCAAACCCCCCAGCCAATGCCTTTTTTCTCTACCTTCTCCCCTGGTCCGTAAGTAAATTCCACCCTTGATTTTACATTTCAAGAAAAAATCCATACAGCAAGCATCTCCAAGCCAGATACAAGGCTTTACAAGAATGTTGGTAGTTCTAAACATGGATTCTTGTTCTTTGCTCTGTTTGTACCCGTAGCAACAATAAGTTCATAGAATGATAACTACCGCCCCCTTTTTTTTCCCAAACAGTCCCCATTGTTTCTTTTTTCAAACGGGGTATCCCTGTTCATCAGGCGATTCAGGTGCTCCACTTACAGCACCATATACCCGTATCGGGACCTGGACTTCGAAGCTTTCAGCTGGTAATCGTTGTGCAGCAGCTAGTATAACGCCGCGGTCATCGGTGGATATTTCTTCTAGAAGATCATCCCATGTTGCCTCTTCGCCATTTTCGTGTGTCAGACGTGGGGTGATGAATTCGATGCGGAGTTTCCACTCGAGGCTTACACCAGATGTAATGAATTCTGGTGTTGCGTTGGGGGGTATGGTGGGCGAAAAGGCTAGTTTCTGAGCAAAGAGTGCGTTTTCGGAGAATGAGGCGTGGACTTTCTTTGTAACTCGGTAGATAGAGGCATTGGAACGCAGTGCGATTGCGGGGTCCACTTTTTCGGATGTTTCGAGCGAGAGATGGATTGAGTAGCATGGGATGTGCGAGTTGGTAAAGTCGACGACTGCAGTCATTGTTTCGCCGAGTCGATAAGAGGGCCGAGCGAGCATTATGACAGCCACACGTCGGCCGCTGCGAGCGATTTCAAAGCGATTGGCGCTTTGGTTTGCTGCGCCAGTCAGGTTGCTGCGCAATATGGCGGCATCAATGGCTTCCTTCATAGTCTGGGGTTCTTCGGCAAACGAAGACCGGCCAGGAAGAGTGTCAGTAGGTGACATCAAGCCCATATTAGTATTTTGCTGGGGCCGCTCTAGCAGATTGTTGACATAGTCAAGAAAGTCACTGAAAGTATCCTCTTGGGCTTTTCCTCGATGAGCACCCTTTTTGGTCGGAGAGAGGTTCCCTGTTGATGTAGGGTCAATAGCCGCTGTTCGTGCTTGATCACGGAGTAGAATGTACGGAGACATCAAGTCATGGCCAAGGATCTCGCCCCGATCTAAAGATGATTAGTATGGCGCAAAGTGCGGAATGACAGTAGATAGACATACTGTTCACGCTGCCAAAGACCCGGAAAGGAATATCCACATGTTTCACTTGTTGCTCTCTGGTTGACCCTGCGCGTTGTGTACCAATAGTGAGATTGTATGCTACCTTCATCGAGCGTCCCTTGTGCGACGGGGGCAGACCGCGGGGGATGGTAAAACTGTACGTGAAGCTGCGACTTTCTCCAGGCGCAAGTTTCAAGTCGACGAACAAGATTGACTGTGGGGTAGAAATGAGAGGAACGGTCTTGGAGCTGACAATACCTCTCATCTCTCGGATACTTGATGGTTCTGAAGGGCCCAGGAATCCGCCCAGTGACTCTCCTATGCTGCCCCAGCCTAGCGCACCGAAGAGACCGCTTTCGCGCTTCATCTTCTCAATACCCACGACTCCGCCTCCACCTTGACCACCCAATACGCCTTTCCTCTTCACTTCCTCAAAAGGCGCCTGGTTGATCAAGGATCCGTCCAGTGTGAAGGTGCCCATTATTTGTGCGTAGCCCATCATGATAGATTCTGGTTGAGCCTGCTTATTAGACGGTGCCAAATGTGATGGCCGTCGCTGGTGCTGGGGCCGGTGTAATAGTCGCGATGACGGATGAGCCGTGTATTCCGAAGCCATGGTCTCATTGGAATTATTGCTCATTGAGTAGAATTCCCCACTACTACGCGGAGTTTCGATCATGCTTGACCCAGATATTATCCTAGCGACAGGCGAGAGAACCTCAAGGTTGGCACTGGTTGAAGGACGATGGTTGTCGATGGGCGGCTGTGGAGAATTGCGCGGTGTATGTAGCGGCTTCTTCGTAGGACTGCCATTGAGTGGTGGATGTGCAGCGTCTTCCTGCGGCGGCGGAGCGGCAGGGAATTTGAAATTCTTGGAGAAGGAGTTTGAGGGTTTTCTCCCGGGGGTTGGGAGCGCTGGGGTGCTTGGGGTAGTTGTTATGCCCGGCCGTCTCCTGTTTTGACGCCCAGGGAATGCGAAGTCACTGGTGTCACGAGCGCTTGGCGAAGTTGCGTCGCCAGCAAGCGGAGAAGGGTGTGTGGCTGATCGGTGGCCGGGCGAGGTAACTGCTGTCGTGTCAGCCAAAGATATATTGCGGTGGCAGTTGTGCTGTCTGCGGTTGTCGTACTTGGATACGAATTCGGTCTGCCCGGCACTACCTGCAGACTGGCTGATCTCCCATGGCCTCTGGCTGGCCGTCTGATGGGTATGCCTCTCTCGTGGCTGGCTTCGGTGGCGGCCTCTGTGCCTAGGGAGATGATGGATACGGATCTACCATGCTTCTGCCCTCCCGTGCTGCTGTTGGCCTGAGCTGCGCTCGGTGTGGCAGGCGACTGGTGTCCCCCAGGCGTTGATGGTGTGTGGAGGGACAGCGCCGGCCGATGTCCGCGGCTGTGAGCAGGTGGAAGCTGGGAGGTGAATGAAGACTTGCGGGACACAGAGGGCCTTGTCGACGAATGGACTGGCGGAACGGGCAGCTTGCGTTGACGGTCCCCGCCTGTCGCAAAGCCGTTGTGTCGTGTGGCTGGGGTGCCATTGCGGCCTTCAGGCTGGGCTACATTCTTGAAGGTAATGGTGCACTCGATGTCTTCGCCCGCAAACACGGTAGAGTCCTTCCATTGTACGAATACCCGGATGTTGGATGCCGACATGGTCAGGAGCACGAGGGTGGGCGGCACGGGCTGCGGTCGTGTAGGCAGCTCATCGGGCGCGGCAGGCAAGCGGCATGACGGCTGCTGGCAATTGATCGTGAACGGCGGCAATGGCAGCGAGCAGCGAGCAGCAGTCGATCGTCGGCAGTCCGGGAAGAGATTGATATTGGGTTGACATGAGCCAACAACAGCTTCCACGGCTTCGTCATGCCCGCGCCGGCCCAGGGTCTAGGCCCGTGCTCTCCTCGCCCTGGTGGTCCTTTGTCTCGAGCACCTACATCACTGCCATCAACATTATTCCTCTACTCCAGTCACCCTGTATGCCTCTCTCTCCTGTCATTCAATATGAAACATGACGTTCTAGCATTACCCTGCTATCAGACGAACCATGGCCTGTCCCCACCAACCCACTTGATACAAAACAGCCAGCCTTGTCCTTGTTGATTCTGTTTCCACAGCTGTCCGCAGATTCCTATCGGCCGATGAAACCATCCATGTGTAAAGTCTTGAAATCCAATGCTCTGTCCTACCAAAAACCCATCACGCAACCTCCCCCGCCATTCTCCGCACTTCATCCGTGTCCCAGTCCAGACGGTCATCGTCGTCAGGCAGCTCATAATCGACCAGAACTTGCATAGTGTTCTTCTCTTTCCCCTCTTCCATTCTCTTCTTCTCTTCCTTTCTACGCTGCTTTTTCCCTCCTCTCTTCCTCTTCTTTTTCTTTCTTTCTTGCTCTACTATTATGTTCTCACCACCTACTGTCGCATCTGCAGTAACCCCGGTATCGGAGGAAGGCTGTTTGCTACGCTCCCAGAATTCATGACAACCACATACGCCATCTTGTGAGGGGTTGTGAGGGCAGATGCGAGGGGCTCGTTTGCGCATGTCGAATGAGTGTATCAACGATGATGTGGGACTGGGTTTGGGAGCAGTATTGTATTGGAAGGATGTCTTGGAGCCAGTCTTCAATTTTGAGACAGCGGAGGAATACAAAGGAGGAAGATGTGTTTTGTGTGAATTTGAAGGGTAGGTCCTGGCGATTGAGCCTGTTGATAGCGATCAAGCATCGCAGAACAAGGCAGGAGAAAGAGAAGGTGAAGGTGAAATGAGCGCGTAATGGTGCACGTGATGCGCAATACACTCTCTGCAAGTTAGGCAAGGACGGCATGGTGCAGTCCGTGCAGGGTTAATGCTGTACACTCTAACATCTATTTGTCCCACAGAAGCACCTCCACAGCTCACCACATCCTTCCCACAACATGCAAAGCAATCTTGACTGAAACAATCGTCCCTAACGTCAGCGCTCCAACCGCAATACCCAACGCTTTCAGGTTCCTCATTTCGTTACTGAACCGCTGCTGCTTCCTCTCACCAATATCTCCCAAGTGAGTCAATGTATCGTACTGTGGGACGTATTTAAAATCGAACCTCGTCTCCGTACCAGCCAACCCCCACTTTGAATTTATAATCAGATTCCAGAAGATGTCCTTTGCACGCTCGATCCTCCTGCGGTCGGCATTGGGGAAGAGGCGGTAGGTGTAGCAGTAGAAGATGAAGAAGAGACACTGGCCTGCCATGAGAGACCAGTAGTACGCCGATACACGCTTCAAGCCAAGCCGGTCAGACAGTGTGTTGCCATTTAGCCAACGGGCGCTGGCTGTCAGCATATCTGCTGAAGAAAAGGTGGGCGGCTCTTCCTTGAGCGCATAAATAATGTTGTTGGCCATGACCTTTGACATGTCCGAAGGCTGAACCTCATAGTAGAGAAGGGACTCCATAATGGCTTTTGCTTTCGTGTGAGTCGAAAGTAACTCGTCAGGCGTGCCCATGATATAACCAATATAGCGCCATAGTGCGAAATAATCGTCGATCTCCTGTTGGCGGAGGATGATGCCCTGGCGTGGGAAACTGATATATACAAGTGTCGACGAGAAAGTACCAATTGTGGCTATTTGATCCAAATCGTTGATTGGTATGCCCCATTGGTCTACGTTGAAGTAGCTGGGCCGCTCACGCACCAGCTTCATGATGCGCTGCCGGACTGCAGCATGTAATAAGCGGACACGGATTGATGAGGCAAAGCCTTCTCCACCGGGCTGTATGCCTTCCAACGTCCTTGTGCATTGTAGAATGTGTTGCAATGTTTCGAATAGTCTTCCTCTTGCTACCTTTGTGCTGAAGCCTCCAGTTCGTGCCAACGTCTCGACGACTCGTGCAGCACCCATACCGCCTAGCAGCGACTGATAAGTGAGGCCAGTCAGAGCGGGTCCTCCGTAACGATAGAAAACATCCTGTCCTCTGCCTATCTGCTCCCAATCTACCCAGTCCGGCACAGTGTTTACTTGTCGCCACAGCTCCGCGAGTTTCGGGTCAGATTCGTGATGTTCCTCTAGTAAAGCATAGAGATCCCGCTTTGGTACGGGCAGGGGCTCTTTCTTTTCGTCTTCAGTGCCAGGCGCTGATGCCATCTGAGTCCTGGTGGTATCATTTCTCGGCAAAGTACTCTTGTACGGTGGCGATATGGCATTTAGGCGATCGAGACATTCCTCTGCAAGCACATCATACGAAAATTTCATGGGCTTCATTTGCTCTTGAGTAAGATGTTCAGGCGTCCATTCGAAACTATAACCCCAGCAACTGATAATGGTTAGTCTAAGTCAGTGATGGTCTCCCACTTCCAGACGTACTATCTAGTGTTGGCTGTACGCCTCCGAAACGGGTTGGGCAACGCCATGACTGCAAAACAGAATGCAATAAACAAGCACGCGCTGCGATATTACCACAAGAAACAGTGAGCGTGAGAGAAAGCAGAGTATGTATTCATACGGAAGTGGAGGAACCATCATATGATACCGAGGCCCTAAACCCGCATGGGGGTGAGGGGTCCACATCCATGTCGCCGCTTGGCTCTTCGGTCATCGCTCTGACGGTTGGGGAATCGTAAATTTGAGGTGGTTTCCGAGATTTGACCGTTGCACCTAACCGTTGGACGGGGTCATTGATGTCACCATTTGGGGCAAGTCGCGGCTGATCATGAATCGTGCTAGCACTAGTCTGCCAGTGGCGGTAGACATTTAGTCCTGGGGCCCGTGCGAGAAAGTCGTCGATGCAGACAAGAGAGACTTCACATCTCCAATTTGGAACAACCATGAGCTGCCACAACTGCACACGACGGACGCTGAGCCTTTTTATACAGTCATTCGCCAATTTAAAGCCTGTTCTTCCTACTGGCCGGCCACTCATCTACCCCCAACCATCGCGATTCCGCTCAGATTCACGCCGACTGGAACCAATAGATCGGCCGTCTTCGAGAAAAACAAAAGCGCAGCCCGATGTCGATGCCGAAGTCGAAGATGCTCTTACAGGAGAGGTCCAAACAAAGAACGAACGCCCTGCATGGCAGGTGCAAAAGGAAGCCCTGAAGGAGAAATTGGGAGGCGAAGCATGGAACCCACGCAAGAAGCTGTCGCCCGATACTATGGAAGGCATACGTCATCTGAACAGTACGCAACCCGACAAATTCACCACACCCGTCCTCGCCAATCACTTCAAAGTCTCTCCGGAAGCCATCCGCCGCATACTGAAGAGCAAATGGCGGCCCTCGGACGAAGAGTACGAAGAGAGAATGGAGCGGTGGAACAAGCGCGGAGAGAGGATATGGTCCAACTTGGTAGAGATGGGAGTCAAGCCACCAAAGCGGTGGAGAGACATGGGCGTAGGCCGAGCACAGAATGGGGAGCTACCACGATGGAAGTCGAGATATCGGAATCAAGTCCATGTTCAGGATAGCTTTGGCGGGAGTCCCGCAAACTACGAGCCGGACGAGGATATATTACCGACGGTGGGCAAATCGGGCAAATCGAAACCGATGACTAGTAGTGTGCCGTTGTCACAGCGGTTATGAAGCGTTGGAATCAGCTGGAGTGGATGATTTGTTGCATACTTGAAAGGAAGATTACCTGGATTTGTAGCTATTTTGGATCTTTTATACTATCTTATCTTACAGCCATATACTGTACCATCATGTAGTTTTTCTGGAACTTTTTCTTGTTGTTGAAGACTTCTAGTATTTTTTATAAAGCTACTTTGAAATTTCCAATGACCGTCTAGAGCTCATTAGAAACGCGACGATGCAGGGATATCTTAATGGAGATAAAGTCCCACGTCTATTCTCTTTCCAAGATCCTACCCGAGTCCAGTCGAATCAAGTGGTACATCTGGCACTAGCGGTAGTATGCTAGGTCTTTTCTGCAAAGTCGTTTAACCCTTGGAAGCCTCGCAGCGAAACATCACATATCACACACTCAATCCCGCTCAGCATCTTGAATTAGCTATTCAGGTGACGTAGATGCGTACAGATATCATTCTAGAGGCTTCGTCCACAAGCCCAGCCTTCGCCAAGAGTTCCGTGCTGACCGGATTCCACAACTTTTACGCATGGGCCAAACCGCTGCGTCTTCATCTACTCACATAGCGCGTATCAGCTGTGGCGTAAATTGGCAGCGGCTGAGTCCACGCCTTTGCTCCCTGCCCGCGCTTTTGCTCCCTATTGTTGCAAACATCGCCTGCTGTCGCTAATCTGTATGCTCTCAGTCAATCGATGAAGTCGGAAATCAAATCGCATGGCACCGATGGTATGAAGCCCACCTAAAGCCTTCAATTCTGCTGTAACACCACTAGTAGTATCTTACTTGATAGGCACCTCAGTATAGTAAGTAGTATGCATACACTCGGTGTGCCTGGCGACGCAGTAAAGGATGGACAGAGATGTGCTCTCCGCCGCTAGGATCCACATGCTCTCTTTCGGTAGGATCCACATGCTCGAAACTGTCATGTACGTGCACAGTGAGATTACCCGAATCATGCCCATAATTCCTTAATACCCTCTGTCGATTATATTAATTACTATTCCCTCCCCCAAACGACGTACCATGGCGCCAATCAAGCTTTTACTATTTCACATATTCCACCTCCTCATCATGGCAGCCATTGCAAATGCTGCACCCACGACACCCAGATCCACTGCTGGATGGTCCAAGGAAGCTGTGTTAACACTAGTCGGTGTCTGTGTAGCAATCTTTGGCATCTTCGCCGGCCTAGGATCCTCACCCAAAGGGAGACGGTGGCTCTGCAGCCCATTTACATGTACGCAAGCGCGCATCACTATTTCCTCCTCCTCGTCTTACCTTGTTCTACATCTTAACACTCGCCCCCCACAGACTTTTCCAATACCAGACGCACGACCGCGCAACGTCAACACGCGGGTACAGGACACCAGTTACGAGATCTCTACGAAGAATACATGAGATTCCGCGAGTTTAGGGAGTTATACATGCAAATGCAAACGCGTCATTCGGAATGATGCTCAAGATTCAAACATCGATTAAGCCCCCCTTTACTACTATTCTACGGTCACACGCATAACGGCATAAACTACACCATCTTCTCTTCTTCACTAGAGCCATTACAAGACTATTAGATTATTATGTATATAACATACACACCAACGCAACCATTTCGCCGCAAAATACTTTACAATTACCAACTCATGAATAACACTCTAGTATGTCGCTTACCCCATAACCCGCCGATCGCCCCGCCCGCCCACTACTACCCGCCCTGCGCCTCTCTACTCCACTTCCCTTCCCTTACCTCCACCACCCGCACTCTCCCTATTCACCCACCCTAACAAGATTCTTAACACATTGTTTCAAAACATTATTGCTGCATCGCCGCGACAAATAGTAACACACACTACACTTTACCACGCTCAACCAACATTCCTAATCAATACACGAGAAAACGTACGCATGGGCCACACCACCCCATCCTCACCACCCAATCTCCCCAAACCAAGACCGATGCGCAAAACCAGCTCGACTTGGGCAATATAAGTAACCCAAACCAACATTAAAACGAAAGGGAAAAAAGTATCAACATGTGTATAAGTGAGGAATATTGTACATGGAGGGCGACAAGGCAAAGTCGACATGTACAGAATTTCTCATGCGGTGATTAGGATACTTGATCCGTTTTCTCAGGAAAACACTCATCATATAGGATTGATTTGTTTACTGTGAGAAATTTTGCTTTTTTTTAGAGGAGAGATGGAGAGAGCGAGAAGGGAAGAGTGGGGCATTTTAAGCGAATAGGGGTGGCGAAAGTCAAAATATTTTTTTATTACTCTGGTATGCATATGGAGAAAGTATCACGTGGGTTTATGATATGATATCGATGAGGTCGATTGATTAGATCTGCAAGAGCTTACGGGGTGGTATGTATTATGTACTATATTAAGGAGTGTGATGTGCTCGTATACGAGCATGATGTCGACTTTTATACTCAGCTGCGGTTTTTTTCTCCAGCGCCATATTGTAATCCAGAAAACTCTGAGCACGCAAGATACGCTTCACGCAACATAGTTCGTTGGATTAGGCTAGCGTTTTATGGAGGAAGATGGAAAATTCCATCCAAGTTCTTTGTTCTAAAGCTACTTGCAGGGCTTGTAGGTCTGAATATTTGCAATGCCATTAGGCCAGCCCTTGCATGCATCGGTTGCCTTGACCCATTTGGTACCAATAGTATGTTTTCCTGCAAAAAAGACAATACAGTTAGCTTTGGCGAATCCTCAGGCTAGGATATCAGACGAATCGACGAGAGCATCGTCGAAAGAAAACGGCTTGTAAAAAGAAAGAAGGACTCACCTCGCGGAAGAGTAAAATAAGCAAAATCAGCGCCTTCCTTCATACACTTTTCTACGGCGTCGCACTTGTAATTATCGCGGGGCCCTTCTCCCGACGTCTCTCCCATCAACACACCATCAACGTATACCTCAAACCGCTCGCACCTATGGGCGCCATCAGCCACGAGGAGAATACTGTCCTCGAGGTTGTCGATGACTATGGATCCAATCGTGGAATCCTGTACCGTACCCGCTGTACGGCGCACATCAATGTGTTTCCAGGGCATGAGGACATCGCCCGTGCAGGGTTTGGTCGCGAGGCGTTGTGGGGTGGAGAAGTCTAACGGGTCTGACACGGGGTTGAGTGAGGACTCGGGTTTTTGGTAGACGGCTCCGCTGTCACATGTGCAGGAGCACATGCCATTGGGTGTGTCGCAGGTTAGGGATGGTATGTAGCCTGTTTGGGGTCAACGTATTGGTGATGATACTTGGTGTGTGCTGGAGATGTGTATATGTACTTACCAGTTCCGCATGTTATCGGCATGCCATCGTTAATGGTAGATCCGAATTGGGCAGCTACGAGGCTGCTGGAGATGATTTGGAGGAAGACCGATAGCTGCATGGTGACTGGATTTCTTTCGAGACTGGTGATGAGTAGGTTGTGTGAGAAGTGGGGAGTGGAGTTTGTTATAATAATCTTCTGTTTCTGGCAGAAGCTTTTGTATATTTGTACAACATGAATAACGTTTCTCGGATCCCCTCTGTTCAAATCCCATTATCTTGACTTGGTTAGCTGTTCTAGTCGAGTGGGCAGTACCAGGTGAGTTGTGCGTAGGTGAGAAAAGCAAGTGAAGGAAGGAGCACTTGGAGACCAACACACTGTTGCCCAAAGGTAGCTTATGTAATATATGCTACCTATCTCATGCTATGAATTTTGAGCAAAACCATTTCTTATAGGATCTTCTTCAAGGAAATATATTGCTCCACTACTGATATACATGTGCAGCAAATGCTACATACAAGTCGGGAGGTTGACGTTGTGACAACAATTTTACAACTTGCATTTTAGCTAGTACCTTAGTCCCACCGTTGCGTACGCTGTTTTACTTTTATACATGCAAAGTGCTTATGAGTACATGGTGATTATTGAAATACCATAGAATCTCACATAGCTTTCTTCAAACATGGACCCTAGCGCTTTCCTTTTACAATAAGAAACGAAAAAAAAAAGAATCACGTGAACTTGCTTTCTTACGTACTCAACCATAGGTATATTCTCTTTGGCCAACAGACGGCTCCGGATGTAATGGTAGAAACGCTAACGTACCTGTCGATATTGCACGCATTTTAAATCCCGGCCCAATATGCACTAGTTATGGAAAAAGTAGAAACTAGTACGTGTGTGGAGTAAAAATGTATTCTTTTTCGCATATGCACATTATGAGAAAAAAAAAGGCACGCATAAAAACTCCATTATCCAAAAATAGCTTGGGCAGCATACCAATACAAGGTTACGACAGACTAAGCTTTTTTGTCAACAGTCGAGTTCCCGCTAGTTATTTTCTTCTTCATATAAGTAATGAATGAAATTGGTTAAACGCATCCTCTTTTGGTATCTCGAAAATAGAGGAGCTACTGCATCAAAAATATACAAAGGTTCCGAGCCCAATATCTACTGGTACAATTTGGGTCAAAAGTTTTCCCATTAAAGTCATTCACGTTCCACAAACGCCATTAACGAAAGGAGAACAAAAAACGGGAGACTCGTCGCAATAACAAGATAACTTTCTGGGTATATATCATAACTTCATCGATTCTTGTTTTAGGCATTCCGTACATCTAGTAGCGGCGCGAGTCGTAACCTCTGTTGTCATATCCGTTGCTTCCGTTTCGTGCTCGATAATCGTCATCAGGGTAGGGAGGTCGTGAAGAAGCGTCGAAAGAGCCGTCCATGCCAGAGGTACCGCTACGGCGTCGGTTTTGCTTCTTACTATCATAGTCCTTATTAAAGCGACGAGCCTCGTCTTCATACATGTTCGACCCATAGCAGTTGTTTGGAATGTCACGAACGTTTGGATCCGACTGAGTACCATAGTTGGAGAAACTCGGGCTTCGTTGTCGGGTGTTTGTTGAGGTTGTGCGAGCGTGATGAGGTGGTTGGTAGGAATTGTCGTTGGGGGGAGACGGCCATGGAGCTTGGCCTGCATTTGATTGCGCACGTCTGCGCCTGTCGTTCGTTGCAGTGTCCGAGTAGGCGCTTGAGTTCATGTCATCATATGACTTGCCACCACCTGGAGCTGCCGAGTACGGTTTGCGCTCTCGCTCAATGGGTACTGATGTAGGCCTAGACTCGTCGTCAATGTCCATGGGCCTGATTTCTGGCTTGGAAGTATATGGGCTCCGCTCCCGTTCAAGTTTCGGCCCATTCGAAGTAGTATCTTGGGTTTTTGGAGGCGGTGGTGGGAATGTTGGGGCTTTTCGGAGTGGCCCGACGCCCTCTGAGGAAAGCGCAGCGGCGCATCTTTGCTGCGCGTGAAGATTCTCGGCGGTAGGAAACATTCTGCGAGGAAGTTCCTTAGGAAATCGTTCCTTCCTATCGTCTGCATTGCTGATGGGCATGTCGAGGATAGCTTTGGTCAGCCGCTCGTATTCGGTGTCGGGATATGCCTGGATCATAGCAGTCATCCATTCTTGAAAACCGTCGGGGGTGAGGGCCGGAATGTACGGTTGCTCTGCCGGGTGTTGTTGAATAAGATGATGCTGGCATCGCATGTCTCGGTAAATCTTGGATAGAGAAGAATACGATATTTTGCCGAATATTGTTTGCCATGGATAAATTTCGTCTTTGACCTTGACTTGTTCATAGAACCTAAGCATCTTGGCAGGGGAAATGACCAGACTATTTTTTGGTTCGTAGTCTTCAATCTGTGCGGATATTAGCCTTGGGTATCTCCGCGGATAGTCAGGGTACTCGCCAAGTGCAGTGCTAGACCTCTCAGGAGTTGGCCTAGGCGGGGCAAGGGTTGGCCATCAGAGTCGAACAAGCGTTGCCACATCTTCTCAATAGGGGTGTAGTCTTCAGTTGCCATTCTGGGCGCAGCAGGCGGCCGGGTGGGCGGGCGTTCTCGGTCCATGGGGACAGTGCGGTCGAATCGTGCAGTGGGCGTATCGTGGTTAGTATCTGGTAGTGGATCGGTATGCAGGGGGCCTCGATCTGGGGAATGATGGGGGGCAAAATCGCTGCGCTTGGGGGATGGAGGGGTGTAGACGTCGCGGGGTGGGATGGAATTGGAAGTCGAGGCAGGAGAAGGTGGAACCCATTGCTGCGACGAGACGGGTGCAGGCTGAGGCTGCGTCGTACCAGCCATGACACCTGACTTGATCTCATCGAGAACCGACTTCTTCACCTCGGCCGTGATTTGAGCAATGAGATTGGGGTCGACGACGCGGGCTGCGTCTGATTTTTCAAAAGCATTACCAATGGCATTCTTCAGCGGCTGCTGAATGGGCTGGGAGGCCGGGTCGAAAGTACGGCGGTCCCAGGCAGGGCTTGTGTCACGAGGCTGATAGTCGGGAGCATTTGATCTTCCACGGGACCTGGTTCTGGGGGCATAGTCTGGGCTTCTTCCGCGGTGAGATTGCTGTTTGTCAGAGGAAGAAGGGTAAGAGTCGTAGGCGGAGTCAGGGTGGTCGCGATAGGCCATGGTTGCTGTGGCTGCAAGATGAGGTTGGGTAGTGCAGGAGCCTTGTATGGATGGCGGGTTGCGGAACGCCGCGCGAACAAGTGGGAGAGCTATAGCAGAGTTGCCATGTACAGGCGAAAATGGCAGATTGGTAGAGAAGATGACAGAGGACGAGTGGGGAAATGAGGCGACAGGCAGAATGCAGTGGAAGCAAACACGGCAGAGCCTGAGTGGAGTTTGGGCGTTGGGTTGTATACTACAAAGCAGCGGTATCCCGGGCAGCGCGTCAGCAGTCACAAAGGACAAGAAGCCCGACCGAACGAGGGCTCCGAGTTAGTTGGGGTTGTGCCATTAGATAGGGCAGAGAGGCAGCGCGGGGCCATCCATTATCTTGGTTGGAAGCAGGCGCCGTGAGGGGCTTGGGGCAAGACGGGCGGGCGGGAGAGGTGGTGTGGCTTGCGTCATAATAAGCAGAACGTCATGGCAGTGTGTTTTTGCAAGAAAGTCCCAGTGTGGTCAAGTCCAGTGCAGTCGAGCCGAGCTGGGAACACGAGGAGATTGAAAGGATTGCCGGGATTGTCAGGAGTCAGGAGCACGACTTCAGGCAGCGGCAGCGGCAGCAGTAGCATGGCGATGACGGAGAGCCGGCGATTGTCAGTTTTGTTTGTTTGGTTTTGTGGTTGGCAGCTGGTCGCAAAGGGCGTCCATGACGCGGCGTGCGAGGGCTCGTTTTGGCTGTTGTTGTTTCAACTGTGGCCGTGTGCCAGTGGCTGGCCTTTGCGCGCCCGGGGGTAGGCATGACATGCATGTCCGCTCACTTATGAGAAACAAAGCAGACGGTGGACCAAACAAGCGACGACGGACGGCATGAACATGGGCCATTTACCACTGACGATTGTTATTTCGCAGAGCCGTTTGTTGTTGTTTACCAGAGACATGGATGGGGCAGAGACATGTTGCAAATAAGTATGTATGTATGGATGTATACGCTGTATACGGCAGCAACACGGCCCGGAACACTGGCAGTAAGTAAGTAGAGCAGGCAAATTAAAACAAAAGCAGCGCCAGGGACGCAATAGGCTACGCGCCCGTCAGCAGCGCCACGGCCAACGGCTGCAAGTCAGAGTGAGTGCAGTAAGTAAGTAGGTATGTCGAGTAAGTAGTGGTACATGATGGTTCGGCCCCGAGGATACGAGTTGACATTGTGTGGGACGGGTGCGGCTGTGGCCCCAGGTGCAGGTGCAGGTGCAGGTGCAGGGCAGCAGGGGCACGTGCGCCAGTCACGGGATCGGCACTCAGCCCACCCACGCCCCAGACAGAGGCTGGAATGTGTGTGTGTACTGTGAGTAGATGAGATGAGCAGAAAGGAGAGGCCCTCATATCACTGCTATTCTGAGCCGCAGCCCTGCATTGCAATCAACTCCTAAACGGCCCACGGCAAATTACCTTCTCCCGACCACACCGCATCCACCGCTCTTCGCTTCGCTGCTCGGCTCCCGGCCTTTCTGCCTGACCACTGAGTATGCCTGGCTGTCGCGGGCCACCGGCTCCGCCCTCCTACCACTGGTGGTAAGTAGCGGTAGTCGTAGTCGTGGTCGTGGTTGTGGTAGCAGCTTGCTATCATGTGCTGCCTGTGTCGGAGTAAGTATGTAGTAGTGGTAGTAGCAGACGCAGGGCTCCTCCTCTCTGCAAGCGCCTGCCCGCCACCCCCAACCTTTGTCTTCATCACCTCCTCCTCCTCCACTGCTGCCGCTGCCGCCGCCACATCCATCATCATCATCCACCACCACACCCGGCACGCCCGTCGTCTCGCCCGGGCAAACTGATTTCCAGCGACAATTGCCGTCTGGCCTGCAACGTCTGCCAGAGGCAATGCGCTGGACACGCCCCATGGCTGCAGCAGCGCCAGCTCGGGCCTATCCGATTTGCTGATAGGCGCACGGTCCCGTCTCACTAACGTTTCACTTCGTACGCTGGCCAGCACCGGTGCCAAAAGCTGTCTCCGTGCTCGCGCGACCGCTCCATTCCACAAAGACCGTCGGGGCTGCCAGGTCGAGTGTTTCGAGCCCGTGTCTTGTTTCTTGAGCCCTTCTCTCATCCACGCTTGCAGCAGCCATCCTGGCACCCCGCCCGCCCGCCGCCGCAATAAAGACACCCGATACGCCCTTTTCCCCCTCGAGTGCACAAAGACGACGCCAGTCCACAACCGCCTACATAGACACACTCCCTCCCATCCTACCCGCACTCACCTGCCACACCACACACACACCCGTCATCCTACCACGCGTACCGTCCCATCATGCATATATGAGATAGAGTAGTAGATAGCGCAACACGACCGAACCACCGACCGACGGACCTGCTAATTACCACCCCACGTACCACTGCTTCTCGACCCCCTCCACGACACGCTATGGCCATGCTCGCCTCAAAGGCCCCATACCCAGCGCCTTCCGTCAGCGGAGGTGCTTCTCAGTCTTCGGCCCAGTATAACGCTAGCCTCAACTCCTACCGGACACATGCCTCCGCCACCCGCGCCGACCAAAGCATGTTTGCCTCGCCTACTGAGTCTGAGTTTTCTGAAATCTACGATGCTCCCGATGCCATCAAGTGAGCCGTCTGCTCCTTCCCCAAACACCACCACCCCCCAGCTAACATGTCCAGGCATTGGGACGAGGACAAGGTTGGTGACTGGCTGAAGCGCATCAACTGTGCCCAGTATGTCGAGCTTTTCAAGCGTACGTCGCTACTCCTCCAAACCCACTATTCACCGCTGACACTTCCCCGCAGTCAACCACATCAATGGCGAGAACTTGATGGAGATGGACCAGACCCATCTCAAGGACATGGGCATCAAAAAAGTCGGCGACCGCGTCCGCATCGGCTCACAAGCAAAGCAGCTTCGCAATAAGGAGTACAAGAAGGCCTCTCGACGCACCTCAAACAGGCAATCGCTCGCTACCCTGGACAATGCCGCATACACACCTCCCTCATCCGGCTCTCCGCGTCCTCTGCACTCGGCACGACCAAACCCCCCTTTGTCCAACCCCATGAGTTCACGGACGGAGAAGCGCATGTCAAGGCAAATCACAAACTCGGACCTCAGCAGCTACGCATACGGCTCAAAGTCGCCCTCCCGTCCCGGTTCTCCTCTTGTTGACCAAGAGACGCGTAACCTGCGCTCACAACGCCAAGGAGGCCTGAACAGCCCCAAGGAAGGAGGCAACAAGACATACGGCGCCCATCCCCTCAGTGCTTCAAGCAGCTCTGTCAATATTGCTCCCCCGCTCGTCCGGAACCAAAGGAGTACACCTACAGAGACACCCCAAACGGCTCGCTTCGCCCACCATGTCCGAGCAAGCCCCAGCATGGACAGCGCTACCAACAGCGCCATCCTGCCCCATGACAAGGCTCTCGTGCGTGTCATCTACGATGGTGGACGCACTTCAGTTGTCAACATCGAGGGCTGCAAAACTGCCGACGAGGTCATGCTCAAGACATTAACAAAAGGACATCTCAACACGGCACACGTCAAGAACTACTGCTTCTACATTCTCAACAGCTCCGATCCCGACCCGTCACTATCGGAGCGCTTGAGTGATATCGAGCTTTTCAGACTGGTCAAGGACGCGAACCGACACGAACGCGGCCGGTTAATTCTCCGCAAAGTCCATGCGGGCGAGCCTGATGAGGATCAACTCAAGGCTGCTGCTGGCATCTACCAACAACAAAACTACCAACAACCACACGGCGTCTACGTACCCGCCAGCAACCGCAGTCAAAACAAGATCGAAAAGCTCACAGGCGAATCCCTTGCCGCCGTTAGCTACCCCCTATCACCGACTTCGGCCAGAGAACGAGAACGCCATATCAACTCGACAGCTCAGAACCTCGAAGGGCCTGCCGAGGCCTCGCGGTCACCTTATTTCCAAGCACGCGCGCGCAAGCTCAAGCAGTTCTATGGCGCTCGCCCACCCAGTGAGCTCATTACTTCCGACCTTACTTCCTACTTTCCAGATGTCGGTAAAGATGAGATCGACAAGACCGTTCGGATGTCGATACGCCGATCACATCGCCTCAGTCGGGCGGCATCCCGACTATCGATGGCGTCTAATTTTAGCGTTGCTTCTAGCTTGAAAGACGCTCCACCACTGCCGTCCATCGCCGATAGCTGGCTCCAAGGAGGTGCACAGGCCCGCCCCCTTCGACCCTTATCCGTTATGCGCCTCGGACTGCCTCATCAAAGTGGGTACCGAGACTCCTTGGCGTCTTCTGTCCTCGAGCCACTCGACGAAGAGTCGCCTCTGGAACCAAATCGCAAGTCTTATGTATCGTTTGGCGGCGACAGTGTCGGAGACAGCTTAGCCATTACCGACCCGGACGGCAACACAACCCTTCAATCTTACTTTGACGATGCCGGTAGCAGCCTTGCCGGCAGCAGCAGTAGCAACACCGAGAATGGCGACTCGCTCAACAAACGCCTGTCGGAAGCCCTAGCCGAAGACGGCGAAGAGTCCGATGACGAGCTTGCAGAGTACCTGGAGCAAGACTCCTGGGATAATGTCAAGTACATGAAGGGTGCTCTCATTGGACAGGGTTCCTTTGGCAGCGTGTACCTTGCGCTGCACGCCGTCACTGGTGAGCTCATGGCTGTTAAGCAGGTTGAGCTTCCATCTGTAGCTGGCGCTTCTCAGATGGACCACAAGAAAACGAACATGGTCGAAGCTCTGAAACACGAGATTGGCCTTCTTCGCGAGCTCAAGCACAAGAACATTGTGCAATATCTAGGTTCCAACTCAGACGACAGCCATCTCAACATTTTCCTCGAATACGTCCCTGGTGGCTCCGTAGCGACTATGCTTGTCAACTATGGTCCTCTTGGCGAGTCTCTTATCCAAAACTTTGTTCGCCAGATTCTCACTGGTCTTTCTTACCTTCACTCACGGGATATTATTCACCGAGACATCAAGGGTGCCAACATTCTTGTTGACAACAAGGGCTCCGTCAAGATTTCGGATTTCGGAATTTCCAAGCGTATCGAGGCCTCCACCTTGGGCGGCGGAAAGAAGGGAGCTCAGCGCGTTTCGCTTCAAGGCTCCGTCTTCTGGATGGCCCCTGAGGTTGTTCGACAGACGGCTTACACCCGCAAAGCCGATATTTGGTCACTTGGCTGCCTGGTTGTGGAGATGTTTACTGGAAGTCATCCCCACCCCAACTGCACGCAGCTGCAAGCCATCTTCAAGATTGGTGGAAGCGGCGATGCCAGCCCAACCATTCCCGACAACGCCGGCGAGGATGCTAGGAGGTTCCTAGCTGACACTTTCCTCATCGACCACGAGAAGCGTCCCAGTGCAGATGATCTTCTTGCCAGCTCCTTCATCACCAACCAAGGGGCGTAAATTCTTCAAACATGGCGCAAACACTCATTTCTAGCACGGGACAAAAGCTGCATCATTTTTTCATGGTGCAAAGGTGTTTGGCAGTCTTTCTTTCGTTCATTTTTTACCCATTTCCAGCCTTACATCTTTTACTTTCTAACGCCCTATAACGCTTCTATGCGCGAGATGATTCTGTACTATACCACTTTTAAAAGATGCTTATTCTTCCTTTAATACATGGAAAGAAGGAGTTTGATTCAATTGGGCATATTCTATGTGCTGGCTAGCTTAGCTTTTAATGGAATCATTAGACAGTGTCAGTGGGTTTTGGTATTCCAAACAAAAGACTGTCTGTAGGATGTTTTATATCTGAACTTTATCTCTCTGTCCATGTGTGTGTATGCGTCTTGATATCAAATGTTCTTCCAGGTCATACACTCGACCTGTTTTGTAGTCAAACCTTGTCTCTTGCCTTGATGCTCGTTAGTAGAGCAAAAAAAAAGCCAGGCAGATAAGATTTCGCAACTAGTCTGTCGCATCTTTCTATTCACCATTTGAAATACCTACGTCATTACCTCCACTTTACTTTCAAACCCTCCCCTCACTTTCCCGCATCCCCATCTACGCACTAACAACTAAGCTTAAATCGTGAGACACTCCTCCCCCTTCGACACACACACGAGAGGCAATCACTATTCAAATCAAGTATACGCAAACCAGCAAGACAGCAACCCGCCAGACGCGTAATTCCTCACATCCTTGACTCTACTTGCCTACCCCCTTGCCTACCCCACCCTCCCTAAACACCCCTAATTAATCCCTATAAGCCCGTTTCACACAACCACCTGTATACGTACCTATCTACGTACGCACACCCCATGACGTAACCTCCACCGCAACCCCTAAGTATTGGGCACCTGCAAAACGGGGGAAACAACCCAACTACTTAGTTCCCTTTTGCCCTTTGAGGCTTTTCGCGCTTGGATTCGTCCGTGTGCGTGTGTCCGAAACACCCCCTCCCCCCTTCTTGCGTATGCTGATGCCGTATATGCGTACCCCTACTATTATTCTTTGCCTCTAGTGTTTATTGTGCCTAATCGATTGTTTAGTGGAGAGGCTAGCATAGCGCTCTTTTTTTTTGGTCTCTTTCTTGTTTTGGAGTGCGGGGTGCGGGGTGCGGGGTAAAGGTGTGTGGTATGGCGCAGGTGGATGGAGCTATCTGGGGGCCAAGGGGCTAGAAGGTGGAATATGGTGGGACCCATTGGGGAGGTTGCTAGTGTTAGGTCAGGTGGAGGGGAAGGGGTGTGGGTGTGGTGGGGAGTAGACCTCGGCTTTTGATGTTGGGGGTTACTTTTTTTGTTTTTCCAGGTTTTGAAGATGTATTGGGAGGTGTTGTGTAGAATTGCAATGGGAGATTTCGGGTTGGTTACTGGCTGGGTCTGGGTTTGTTGGAAGGAGTGGTTTGGGTTGGAAGGAGAAGCGAGCGAGTGTGTCAGCAAATTCTTACAAGTATATAGGTGGAGTAGTACGAACTGAGCGAACCCCCGGTCATTACTTACGATGTAGTACGGGGAAGGAAGTGGAGACCGGCAGTTTGGAGGAGAGGATATGTATAAGAGAGAAAGTATTGAATTGGGAAGGCTTTTCTTTTCTGTTTCAATTCAACTTTTCTGCTTGGATTCTGGGCGCTTTGCTCGATCAAGGACGCGTAACGTTTTCCTCTCTTTTTCAAGTCCTCGAGACAACCATCAGCTTCAAGACTTCCCTCTTCGATACATTCTCCTCACGGTAGTAAATAGACATCTACACAAGGAGATAAGACAAGACCACCGTAGCTCAAGATGACGACTCCCTCACTCCCCTCCAAATACAAAGCTGTCATCTACGACAAGCCAGGCACAATCTCCACGGCGGTAATAATGCTCGACATGCCTTCGCCCGGGCAAGGCGAAGTCCTAATCAAGCTGACGCACTCGGGTGTGTGTCACTCTGATATCGGAGTTATGACGAACTCGTGGAAGTCACTGCCGGTTGGCACGCAAGCGGGGCAAGTTGGTGGACACGAAGGCGTGGGAACGATTGTACAGATGGGACCGGGAACGGATAATGCTAGTGTCAAACTGGGGCAAAGAGTGGGGATCAAGTGGGTTGCTGGTATATGCGAAGCATGTGAGGCTTGTAGGGCAGGCTTTGATGCTTGTTGCTCCAGTGCGGTAAGTTTTGATCTGCTTCCTTAGATGGCCTTTACTCATACCTGGCACATTCCTGGAGGACGTAAAGGGTAGAAGGAGCTGCAGCTATTTTGCTTACTGACTTGGTTGTTGAACAGAAAGTCTCGGGATACTTCACCCCAGGGACTTTTCAGCAGTACGTCCTCTCCCCCGCAAATTACGTCACACCCATTCCCGATGCCCTCGCTTCTGACGCCGCCGCGCCGCTACTCTGCGCCGGCGTAACCGTATACTCGGCACTGCGCAAAACGAATGCAGAGTCCGGGACTTGGGTCGTGATTTCCGGCGCCGGGGGCGGACTGGGCCATCTCGCTGTGCAGTTCAGCGCGCGGGGCATCGGTCACCGCGTCATTGGCGTGGATCACAGCAGCAAGAAAGACCTCGTCATGGAGAGCGGAGCCGAGCACTTTGTTGCCGTAGATGGCGAGCATGGCGTTGTCGACACTGTGAAATCGCTGACCAATGGACTTGGCGCTCACGCTGTTGTCGTCTGCACTGGCAACAACGCCGCGTATGCACAGTCAACAGAAATGCTGCGATTCGGTGGCCGTGTTGTCTGCGTCGGTATGCCAGAGGGAGACCCTATGCCGATTAAGAGTGCGACTCCTGCTCTGCTGATCGGCAAGTCGGTGCAGGTTGTAGGGTCAGCGGTAGGGAGCAGAAAGGAGGCGATTGAGACGATGGATTTCGCAGCGAGGGGCGTCGTCAAGTCGCATTTCAGAATTGAGAAGATGGACAAGTTGACAGATGTTTTCAAGGAGATGCAAGAGGGTAAGTTGCAGGGCAGGGTTGTGCTAGATTTGCAGGATTAGAAGAGGGCTGGCGGCTGCTGATGGTATACTATGTTGTACACGTAAGTTTAATAGTCAGTTGAAGCTGGGCTTGATGCTGTAGCTTGTAGTCAAATCTCATGAAAGGCTCATTGCTAAGTTGTTCGTAATGATATCTCTAACCAGTGTTTCGGTCACGGAAAGAGTCCTCCGTTTGTTCGATCTTGAGAAGCTCATATTCTGAGCCGCCTTCCAGACTCCAAAAATAGGACTCGTATTTATCGCATTGCAATCTGCACAGATCCCCATCCATTTGCAGCATATTGCGTGCTGAAATCAAATAGCCACAGCTACGGCTGGTAGTACGGGTAACGACAGTAAAATAAGAACAAGGTTTACAAAGACGACTGCCCGTTCGTAAGCAGCTGAGACTACTGCGTACAGCATGTACTAAATACACTATGCCTAAATGGGACGCATTGATCTATAGTAGACGGGGCTTGTCCGGTCCTATCATCCAAGTCTGACAAACTGTGGGGATATCTGCACTTGTTTTCTTTTGCTGCAATGACAAAGCCTGTGTGTACATGGAGAGGTTGTGCTTGGTGAATCCACGTTCGATCCACATCGGCGGACTGCAAGTAGAACGCACAGATCTTCTACGGTAGTATCGCGGTGTACTTATGTTGGGTAAGCCGCTACGGTTATTTCTAGCATGCAGAGCACACGTAAGCTGTTGCCGGTCCACTCCATTGGTCGAGGACTATATGTCCGAGTTGACCTTGCGAGCCTGCTAGGTGCAGATCCACGTATGGCGTGAAATATGCGTCTTGCATATGTACAACAAAATTTGAGTGCATAAATGTCTCACGGAACACCTGGTGTGGCTTCTTCGCACTGGTCAAGATGCTCTTCGCGATCGCGTGTGTCGGTCAGGTCATTGAAATGGCAAGGTTTCTTTTACAACGCGAAATCCTGGGAGTTTTCTTACTGGCAGATGTGAAACGATGAAACAGGCATGGCCAGTAGCACTGTTGGGCTTCTGGGCTCTGCATCTCAGTGTAGGGCTTCGGGAGCTTCCGCGGTCCCAACAGCTGGAATTTGTCAGTGCGCAACCAATGTCTTCTATCAGTAAAAAGATAAAGAACTAGGCCATTACTGAAAAAGTCTCCCTAGAAACACATGGGCGCACTAAGTCTAGGATCCTTGAATATTTCCACCATTGATATGGACGGTAAATCTGAGCGCCTTTCGGGAACTTTCCTCAATCTGTCGATCCATACTTGGGATAGACAAGGAACAAAATACATATACGTGTTTCGCGTTGTAAAGCTAGCTGTGCTATCTTGAATCCTTCTGCGCTATTTATGCTGGTCTGACGCGCTTGCTGGAATGCTGCCGATATCAGTGTTGTCGACAATATTGCACCACTCCTATCTAATCAGCACGACCACTCAAAAGACATACTACTCTTTGATGCTCTTCGGAATAACGGCTTTGTCTTTGACGAAACCAGCAGCATTTTCTCTAGCCGGCATTCAAAATCTCACTTCAATGAACCATTGTTCCATTGTACTGAGAAAAGCTTGGCTCCCTTGGATAGTTGCGCACCTCCGATTCTAGCGTACTAGTTTGTCGATTTAGTCATGGAAACCGGGAAGGATCCACAAAAACGAAGAATACGGCAAGATCTCAACGAGATATGCCGAGTACGGGACGTGCCATGCCTTGTTCGGCACTGCTAGCGCTCAATATAGAGAGGTGTTTTCCCCATGTTTGCTCAGGTACCCTACTTTCTTGTCAGGGGTCAAGCTTCTGGCGAATGAACATCTGACGATAATCCCACGTGTGGAAATGAATAAGGGGAAATTGTGCATATCCATCACCGAATTTGTGGATCAAAGCGTCCTGAGTACTGTGGAGATGTACACCTCCACACGTGATAGGGGCCTTTTACTCATCGGGTTCACCAGGAATTTCTGGGATGCATTTAACCGGATCTGCGAGGCCTTGGTTCAAAATCGGGTTTTTAGCAATTCAGGCCGCCGAATGCATCGGCGAGGTTGTTTCTCGCTCAGACTTTTGCTGAATGTTAACTCGATGAGCATTGCTAACAGGACACTCTACCAGCGACATTTCACCGAGTGAGTTATCTGAAATCGCGCAGCCTAGTCACTACACGTGAGCATGTGAAGAATGGTGATTTCTAAACCTGCGCTGGATCATTCTACCCACCGACAGGAAAGTTACGATGCCGTCTCGGCTCTAATACTACGACGGCCCGAAGTGGCTCCATATCTGGCACGGCCGTAGCAAAACCGTTCTACAGAGTTTCCATACTACTAAAGAGTTGGTGTGCGAGGCAAGCGACGCTGGATTTGAGAATGTGAAACAAACGGGTGTTGGGTGCTCTCTAAGGCTTACATGGGTTCTACAGTATACATTTATAGGACCATCGGGATTGCGCAGCAGCATGATGCCAAGTCGAGTAGTCTTATCTCAAGTCTAGGGCACCAATTTAGCGCAGCACTGCCATGCACGACACATAGCGCGATCCTTGCCGGTGCCAGATGACGGAAACCGACGAGCCACGCCAGTTTTGCATGAATCTGAATCTGAATCTGCGCGATTCAGGAAAAGTTGACAGCACTTGGCCTTCCGATTGTGTGAACTTCCTCGTATTGAGGATTTCGGTTGTATGTGATAGATTACTTCTCATGTTGAATGCAAACAAGTGTGCGCCTCGTCCGCTTGTGGACCTTGGTGGTGTACCCAGAAAAGTTGGCTGCGGGCTCATCTCACCTCAGCTTTGGCCACGCCGTGCGATGTATGGTCTGTCCGAAGCCCCACCATAGTTACCGTTGCTCGGCCCCAGACGTGTCCAGTAGCGCCTGAATGGAGTCATTGCTATTTTGACTTGGGACAGTAATAGTATACAGGCCATGCCCTGCCACCATGGGCGAACTGTATATTCCGCCGCACTCCGAAAGGGCGACTTCTTTCAGAACTTCTGTTTCTCTACTAGTACTGAACGTTTCACCCCCTGTCTCTCTGCATTACAACCCATCGCACTATACTACCCCGTGTCATCAATCTGCGAATGCCACGCCTGCCGAGGCGCACTTAAAAGGAGGATGTTGTTGTTGCTCAGAGGCAAAAACTCCAAGTCAACTACGACTTTGCGGGCAGTCCCAGCAAATCCCGAAAACGAAAAAGATGTACACTCGGAGGCACGGGAATTAGTGCTACCAGAGTCCCTGTTCACTGATGATATCAAGTCACCTTTGTCGATAACTTCTGGCACAACTTTTCCAACAAAGTCCACAGCCATATGGCGCAAGAAGAACACAGCGAAGCCAACAGGAACCAAACGCGCTTCCAAAAAGTCGAAATCATTCGATAGCCAGGCCTCGATAATCGGAACATATAAAGACGGCAAGATTCAATGGCAGCGAAGAGGCGAGATTGTTACTCTCGACAGCAACAAGAATACCAAAGGCACAAACGGGCAGGAGAAATCTAAGATGCCTGCAACAATCCCCAGCGGGAGATGTGACCAGCCGCTTCCGCCACTCCCGTTCTTCGAAGCCACTTTTGGTGAGCTGAGAAGCAGATATTCTATCTCGCCCCCATTAGCAGGCGACAGATGCAGGTGGGCCCAGTCGCAGGCGTCGCTTACTTCACAGCACTCAAGACGTACGACTAGTCAAACTTCTCCTGCAAGATCTCCCAAATCACGGCACACCAAGGGTGCGGCTGGAATTGTACACACGTCAATTTATAGTTGCTCGGTTTATTCCCAAGAGAGCGAAGTGTCGTCATTACGCAGCTACCGGTCCTCAGAGACAAGCTTCGAAGCCGACAACCCCCCAAAACAAGGAAAGCCGGACGCAGCGATAAACAACAAGGAAGGCCAACGAAAAGCGCCGCCAACCGAACCGCCCCGAAGATATATGCATCAGCCCTCCAGCTCAGAGGGTGCAATCTTTCGAGCTACTACCCATGGCACTCATGCATCCTGTAATACCCCGCATAACGCCGAAGCATGCGAACCAAAAATAGAGCGAAAGTCCTCCAAACGGAATAGTCCGCGGCGACGTCCAGCCCCGAGCCCGCGTCTTGTCTTACAGAAACAAGCCACTCATCACAGCGAGACCAGGCATTCGTCGGTCATCGAGCGAGGGCCTTGCAGCCCCACTCTTAGCGAGGCCGAATGCGACCTGCATCAGCAATTGGCTTCATTCGAGAGCATTGGCGACCTTGGGGCGGAATTTGATCAAGACAGGACCCCCCTTGCAGAAGCCAATCTTTTCCAGTGGGATGCACTTCAACCTTCAACTGAGGGCGATAATGTACAGATGTCTCTCACAGAATTGGCACCGAGTGAACAACTCAGTGCTCCGCCTCCCTTGCCTCGCAAATCCAGTAAACGCCAGCCAGCGAACTGGAACATGAAATTATCTCGCCTTCCACACAACCACATTGCTTCGCAGGTCCGACGAGGGCGCTCCAAGGCGAGCAAGACGCTAACACTCATAATCCCAAAGTACAGGAGGACAAGCGCAGACATGGTGCTGTCCCAGGTCCCAAATCCACGAAACGATACCAATGCGACTGAAAGAAACACAACCGACCCGATCATCTCGCCCGCTGGAGCCGAGTCTCTCATCCTGAACATCTTGCAGCACCTAAGTCACTTTGACGATCTTTTCGCTGCTGCTCTTGTCAACCATGGCTTTTACCGAGTTTTCAAGCGCCATGAACTCGATCTCATCAAGTCGACTCTGCGAGCCATGTCCCCTCCGGCATGGGAATTTCGGGAAATTGCGTTCCCTGGCCACGACAGTTTGCACGCACACGATCTCGAGATGACTCGGCCCGAAGAGGAATACTCTCCTACGTCGTACCTGCGGCTCCAGAAACAAGACATTCAAGTGATCCGCGCCATTAAGCTGGAGATTTTGGAAAAGTGCCAGTCGTTTGTGCGACCAGAGATATCGATTGCGCTTATGAGTACGAATCCATCAGAGTCGGCTAGGGTAGACGATGCGCTATGGCGCATATGGACATTTTGCACAATCTTCGGCTCAGGCAAAGGACGAGAGGATGACCTTGTTGCGCAAATGGATTGGCTGAATGGAGGAACAATGGCCCATCAGGAAACTTGCACTTTCAGTATCTCGGGCACGGATTTCATGAATGATACGCTCGTCGGTGCTTCTGAGAGTTTTGGCAAGGGCAACGAAGGCGGACTCAGTGCCGAGCAGCTCTTTGACATTATGGAGTTATGGAACTGCTTAGCAGTACTCTTGCAAAGCTTCGAAGGCCGAACAGTCCAAGCACGCCAGGCAGGAATATACGACGCTACGGAAATTCGAGGCGGAGATATTGATGGTGAAGAGATGATGCTCGGTATGTTACTCCATTCTCAGACCTGCTCAATAGCTAATTCGTCCAGATGAATGGTGTTACTACCTTATGACCTTTGGTCCAGCCGCTGTCCTGAAACTAACTGGACCCTACCACCCCTCCGATCCCAAAGGCTTTACAATTGCTGCCGAGAACGGCTGGGTCAACTGGAAGCCCCCGAATCCCGGAAATACCCGTCGCAAGTTTCTCCGGGAAGCCGCTTCCCGTATCTACGAAGACAAGATAGCAAACACCTACGCAAAGATCTCTACCCGCGACGTCCAGCGCGAGCAATCGAAGATGCGCATCCAAAAGCACATCAACGAACTGCATCAACGCAAAATAAGCGGTGAAACTGGCCCGATGATTTCCATGTCGCAAGAACGACCCATGTCGGACTGGGATACAGTCCTCAGGAACTTGACTCGTCCTCCGATTCCTAAACAAGGCCCAACAGGCGATATTATCACTCATGTGCCTGGTCTCAAATCATCAGTAGCAATTCCCAACGAAGGCTACTCTATATCGGAGCTCCCAGCAACAAGAACCCCTTCACCAACTCAAAGGATAGTCGCTCGACCGCTGCTACCGACGCCAGCACCCTCGACGATACCTGCTCTCGACCAACGTAGTGTAGTCTCAGGCCTGCCGTCCGTCGAAGAAAGTGTAGTATCGCCTCAATGGAGAACAGCAGCGAGGCCTCTTCTCCCATCCCCATCAATATCCACCTTCCGGGGCAACCGCGACCTGTATACCCTGGACGCCATCTCTAGCATCGGTTCACCGACCCGCCGCATGATCGCAGAGCCTCTCCTCCCAACCCCCTCAACCACGACAGCATCCAACACACGCGACTGGCAAGCTGGCGGCATAGGCATCTCGATGCCTTCAATCCTCGAAGACGCACCTTCTCACCACCCTCTATCTCCTGTGCAAGCCCGACCCAACCATCTTGTTTTCCATCAACGCAAAGAGAGCCGCGACAGCGACCTCAGCTCATCCGCCAGTCCCCGAAGCGCAATCTTCCAGCAGCACGAGCGCCAGCACTCCATCTACTCGAGCCCCAGCCACGAGAACACGGCTGAAAAAGCTATTTACCGCATCGTAGAAATGGGATTTACGCCCGAGCAAGCAAGAGAGGCGCTGCGCATGACGGATCTCGGGTCTGGACTCAGAGTTGACTGCGCAGTAGAGTTGCTGCTTAGCCGACAGGCATAAGCTTGTTATCCGATGATATCAGCATTTACAACGGTGCCCATCAATACGCTTGTTCTTTATCACATTTTTTTTAGCGTTGTAACCTCTTTTCGCGTCTACACACTTGCATTCGCTTTTCCTCACTTATTCGCTCTCAAGATCAAAAAGCCTATACTACGAGATACCCTTGGCTTTTCTCATATACCCTCGTTTTTTGTAACAACTTTTTTTTGCATTCTTTTATCCCATCTCATATTTGCATGCATGGATGAAATTGGTGAGCTTTTGTTTGATGGGGAACCTGTCCTTCTTGTCTATATAATTTTTTTAATCATCATGTTTTGGATGTATATACGCTCGCTAGCTAGGATATTGCTTCGTCATGAATTTGAATTTGGGGTGGTTTTTGGTAGATGCAGAATTTTTTGCTGGTTGGTTCAATTGATTGGTTTACGTGATATGAGGTTGGTGGATGGTAGAAAGTGTAGAAGTGGGATCGCGATGAAACTTGATGATTTTGGGTCGATTCTGAATATCTCCCTGTCGAGTACGGTCGTTGTGGTCAAGTGTAATTCCGCCGTTCCAGTCTCGATTTTGCGAGACACCACCGCATGTTTGCTGGAGAAAAGGGAGGCTCGACTGAACGACAGACGCGCGCATCAGTCGCTTTATAAACACAGCGCTTCCTGCGATGCACCAGCACATCGTCCCTCGAGCTGTAGGAACGAGCATACACCACTCATCAACTACCAACAGGAAAAACCCGCGTCCCCAAGTTTCACCCTCCAACCCTTCCTTCCCCCAAAATGCTTAAATCCACAATCTCTCCTTCCTTTCCTTCTTTCCCCCCAATCCCTCTCACCTACAACAATCACAACAGTCAGCACACTCGCTACAACACCCCAAAGCCTCGCTAAAACAGCGCCCGATGATTGAAAAACATGCCGCCCACGCCTCGATGCACCAGGGTCCCGCCAGCGTACAATCACAGTTGCGTATGCAGCGCGAACAGCAATCTTCTTGACGGCTTGATCCAAGAGGTCCGCCCGATTCCTCGAGGTCCGCGGTGGGTTCGTTCATGGGTGCGTAATTCATTTTTGTTTAACCTTTTCCTGTTTTCCGATTTCCCGATCTCTTCTTTTTTTCTTTTTAGAGGTGGAGGTGATGAGGTTGCTTTGGTATGGTGACTCGATATATTCAGATCCAGTTACGGAGTGGATAGCGATGGGGAGGGCAATGAGATGTTTTGTTTGCGTGTCGTTAAAAAAAAATCCCGTGACTACTAGGCGTTGTCGCTCGTTGTTGCAGATTGGAAAAACAAGTAGTAAGTTGGGCCCCCCCCCCTTGAAAACAACAAAAAATTGTTCGAGGTCCTATACTAGCACTATGCGAAACATCAAACTCCCCGTGATTCGAATGACCGTCTTCAAAATGTCGGGGGCAAACAAAAAAATCTCCGATAAGACAAGAATAAAAGAAGCGTCAAAGTGTCAGGTTCGAAAAGAAAAGAGGGTACGTATTTGTGTACCTAAGTTCATAATCTCTTGGACACAGCGCAGCCACAACGCACGCACACGCCCCTCACCCCTAATTAGGCATCGTTAGTTTTAGTTAACTACTGGCACCGAGTGCGCGCGCGCGGGGAGAGGGGGGGGGGCCCAACAACAACACACAAGGCAACCAGCGCAACGCCACACAAAAATTAAATTCCCAACTACACAGCCTCGGGGCTACTCTTGTAAGGGGGAAAGTTGCCAAACGGGGCCCCCACCATGGTAGTTTATTCATAGAAACGGGAATACGAAAGAGAGAAAGAGAGAGAAAAAAAATGAGAAGATTGCAGGTGGCAGCTGAAAGGAGGAAAAAAAATGATTTAAGCGATGAGAGAGTTTGCATGTTGTGGATTTAATCATGTGATAGCCCTGAAAATTGTACCCTAAAAACACATACGTATATAGATGGATGTCATGCATACAGTATAGTACTAAACCACCGGAATCATTCTCGTTGCCTACCCCGCTCTTGCACATACCCAAAACATACATTTGATTAAGACCCGAAAAAAAAACCAAGAAAACATATAACATTCTGATTTTGCATTCTCAACTTGGGAAGGATGGGGACGAAAAGGGGGGGGGTATCTTGCATAATTACATGCAAACGCCAGGTTACCAAAAAAAATAATCCAATAATAGGTAAAATCGAAAAAAAATAAGCCCCTCGTGGGTTTCTTCAAGCCATCATCCCATCCATGCTAAACCCTTATAACGATATGAATTCCCAGACCTCTAGCCTCTCGAATCGAACAGGCGAGACACGTTCTCCCCACGCGGCTAACAAGAGCATGGAGACCCCTCTCTGCACACCAAGCTCGGGCCAGGACTTCGAGATCCCAAGATGTGCGGGCGTCGAGGACGAGGACTGCCTTCTTAGTCTCGCGGATTGTGTCTGCTTCGCTGTAATCACTCTGGGACAGGGCGAGTATGCGTTCGCTCGACTTTGACGTGTGCAGTTCAAAGGGGAGGAGAAAATCTGGATCCAGAATATCGGTCACAGGAATGATCTTGTACGAGTACAATTTGTGAAGTAAATGCGCATCCAGGGGCTTGCTGCCTGTCGCGAGTCCTTCGCCAGCCATTTCATCAGGCACGTCGTACATGCGTTTTGGCTCGTTGGTAGGGGCATCTGGCGGATGTGATAGTAGTGGCTCGAAGCCATGGCTGTTGCGGCGGGACATGGTTTCGCTATGTTTTGATGAAGATCTTGATAATGTTCCTGTGACAGAGCGTCTCAGGACCCTGGGCCGATGCGTAGAGGCAGGCCCAGATGCGGCCGGTGTGCATGGCCACGAAGTTACAAACTGGATATCGTAGGCTAGCGTTAGTGTATGGATGGCCGACCCGTCGGCTGAAACAAATGTCATAGCTGGAGAGTGTATATCGCTCTCAGAGTATGGTCCTGTCAAGCTGTCGCCATCGATGAGATCGGCGTTCATTGGGACAAGCTCCCATTGCGAAAACCCAAGAGAGGAGGTCGGCATCGGGTCAAGGTCCCGGGGAAGTACAAAGTCTTCTGACTTGACTGAAGTAGGAGAATCTCCAGGCACGATTGCGGAGTCTCGTGAGACGACATCGGAACCGTCCCTCTCCTGCACGCGGTTTTCGTAAGGGAGAACTTCACTGTGAATAGAGTACCAGCGTTCAGCTGGATTCTCTGGCAGTTTTGGGCAAGACACCCAGCCCATACACTCTGCGGAACCCTTTACACAAGCCAGGATGCGCCCAACGATGGAGTTCTTGCTCCAGAAAGTCCTGTCGCCGAAAGTGAAACCCCCATACAGATTGGCAGAGTGACCAAGGTTGGCGACGGCAATCTCATCGTTTTCGAGTAATGTGGAGATGAGCAGGTGTGAAATAGCCTCTCCAGGAAGGACGAGTCCCGTGAGGTATGACCGGCTAAGCCACCCACCAACGTTGTTCACAAAAGCCGTGGACTGGTCTTCGAGAGCTGGTAAGGTAGGGGTAAGGGCCATGTGGAAAGCTCGAGAGTTGTTGCGCTCTAGCGCTGGCTTTGCGGTTTGCCCAAAGTAGCTCTCCATTTGAAAGCTAGAAGCTGGTGGGGTTTGTAAAGGGGTTGCGTATACACTGAAGCCAGAAGGAGATTCTGGGCTTGTCAACCTGCCACTTGGGGATGATGGTGTGGTATCCTCGCTCTTGATCTGTGGTGCCAACTTGCGAACAAGTTGGGCAGACACAACGTCTAGGCCAGGCCACTGTATAACAGTGGCAAAGTGAAGAAGGCCGGAGATCTGCCGCGTCTGGTGCTGCGGAAACAAGATAAGGTCTGATTGGGGCATCTCGTGGTGGGCATTCTCAGCGAACAGAGAGAGTAAGCCACCCGACTTGGGTTTGGGAGACGTTTGGGAGCCTCCCATTATAGCAATGTTGTCCAGAAATGTGCGGGCAAGGACCAGATCCCAATCAATCTTTCGAGTCTTGAACTGGAGAAACGCTTCGACATCTTGGGGATTGATGCGCAGTCGGACGGCAGCATCGGCGGCGTCGGCGTTTGTGTAGGCATCTAGTCGGAGCAGCAGCTCGCACGCCAAGGTGATTTGGAGGAGCAGAATCTCGCGCTCAGTCCACAGGGGCTGTGTGTCGTGCTCGTGCTCAGGTATCAGGTCTGGCTCACTCCACAAGATCTGGCCCAGCCTAATCCTCCACTCTACCAAGCTAAAATCGTACCAAATTCCCTTCAAGTCTAGAACCCTCAGTAAGGCGGCAATCTGTGTTTGCATTCCAGTGGGATCGTCGGTCGCGCCGTCGTAGCCAGGTGGGGTCAGGAACTTGGTGAACAAGTTGGCGTACAGGTCCCCAGACGTCTGAGTGTTGAGGATAGTCATGGGCTCGGGGCTATCGTGGAATGCCTCGTACATGTCCTGAAACTCGCCCAAGCGGTCGTATATCAGGCGGAGGTCGACTGAACGGATACCCAGACGCTCTGGGTTGGTGTGTAACAATTCCTTATTCTTGGTCGCCTCGGTCGAGTCGGCAGCTGATTGGGATGCTTGGGGTTGGCTGAGAAGGACATCGGACTCGGGCAACTCGAGAAAGTGAGCGAAGCCAACTGTTCCAGGCTCGATGCCTTGAGTGCCAAGCATAGAAGGGGTTTCGACGGCGTCGACTGCATATCCATTGTACTCTTTCGGGGACTCGTCAAGAGGCTGGGCCTTGAGAGAGTGTTTGTGCAGGGTTGCAGCGGAGAAGGCAGGCTCAGCAAGAGGAGCGACATCGGTCGCGTCCTTGGTGGCAGCCTGGACGCTCCAAGGAAACGAGGCTGTAGGGGTGCGGCGGCCGTTGACTTTTGCGACTCGGAATTGCGGGGCGCCGGCGAAAAGGACGTGAAGCTGGGTGAGGGTCAAGGGGTCGGTCTGGTGCGGGCTAGTGTCTTGCGGTGGTGGTAGTATTGATTGTGGTTGTGGTGCAGGAGTAGGTTTGGGTGGTGGCAGGCCATGGGGGTCGGGATGGTGGGCGGGGGCATTGCTACCATGGTCGGGAGCGGTGGTGTTTACGGGTGGCGGGGTCGGGCCAGTGTCATCGACATGCTTGGTGGGTGGCTGTAGAGGGAAGATGACATTAGCGGGCCGGTGTTGTAGTATGTTGTAGAGTGATAATCAGCGTACCATAGTCTTGTCGCGAGGGTGGGATTGGCGGTGCTTCCATGACTTGAAGAAGTTGGCAATCTTCTGTCTCTTGCTTGCCCTCCTGGTGAGCGGGCCTGGCTTGTCGTTCATCATATCAGTGTGCAGCCTTGGCAGCATACCGACGGCGGTGACGGCGACGATAGCAACAACGACAACAACAATCACAACAACAACAACGACTCTGCATGGCGGAGGGGATATAGTACATAAGGGGAGCAGGGGCTGGGCACAACAGGCGGGCTGCACACATGCACGTCAAGCATGGCAGATATCCCTGTCTGCAAGGCCTGGATGGCTGTTGGGTGGAGAGGTTGCAGCTGCGCGGTCCCTGTGCCGCATCAGGGCGATCAGAAGATGACGTCCGCTCATTAGCTGCAGCATTAGCACAGCCGCCGCCGCCACGACGCCAGTCTGACATGTCTATGATATTGATACTAGTACAAGACGCCACGCGTGTACATCTCCATGTAGTATATACTTACTTATTGATCGCCTTTGTTCTCTTTTGTGCTGCTCGACACGCGCCTCTCTTTGTCCATGGACACGACTGACTGATGACGCTATTGCGGACCGCTCGCCTCTACTTAGCCACGTCCCCACCATGGCGAGCCGTGCCCGGTTTCTAGAACGCGGAAGCGCATCGCTCATGTCCGCGGCCCAATTAAAGCACCATGTCTAGAGAGTCAGCACAAGACTTGTGAAAAGCAAAACCAAGAGTCGCCCGGCGTTTGGTTCCCAGGAGAAGGTGGCCGGCTATGATTGGGCGGCTCACCACGTGACTTTGATTGATAGCCATGAGGATAGACACGCCGCTGACTCGGGCTGCCGCCTGATGCCCGCACAAGCATGAATCGCCGGTATACTTGGTCATCCTGTCGTATAGTTGGCCAAGTACATGATATATGTATACATGCTCACTCCCACAAGACTGGCCCAGCGTGAATCCATGTCCCCCCTTTGCTTGGGTCATGTGTACGTGTGTGCTAGCCCTCCCACTTGTACGCCGCCTCGACCCGTCTCGCATCGCTTCCGGCACAAGGCTGAGGGCCGTTTGTGGAGCGGTTCAACAGGCCGGCGGACAGGTGCAGGGTTCTGGTTACAGAATGGCGGCGATCACGTCTGCACCACGTCCCAAACAACACCGCGTTCTGGACTTGTTCCATGTCGTCGCACGCCTGTCTAGACTCGAGTACATAGACACGTAGGCCTAGTAAGCACAGTGCCATCGACTTGGGCAGCACCGCAAGCCGCAATCTCCGGCTTGCCCATGCTTCACCATGCTCTTCACTTTGGTGTTCCCCACGACTGGTTCCCAAGCCCGCTTGATAGCCATTGCGCTAGCCAAGTAGTTGCCCACCTCCCCCAGCTTCAGCTCCACTTTAGCGACCCCATCCCTCCGTGCTGCTTATCTACCTAACCTTTTCATCCTGCCGCGCTTCTCTGCAGACACTTTGCTCTCATGTGAATGCATATGAAGCCACACTCTGCCCCAAAGCTGGTGCAGCAACCCGGCTCTCTTGTCCCTTCCTGCCCACGCCGGACGCTACCGCTGATCCCGCCCCTCCGCTGCAACTAGTCCTCCCGGAGAATGCCCGAGCTGACGTAAAGTCTGGCAAGAACATGTCCTCACAACCACCTGCAAATGCTCTTCTCAACAAGAGGAAGCAGACAAAGAGCCGCAATGGTACGCTCGGATCCTCCCCTTGTTATCCTCTTCAACGACACCCAACATGTGGCCATCTCCTGCCAAACCACCATGCTGATGCCTTTGCCTAGGATGCATCACATGCAAAGCAAAGCGCTTGAAGTGTGATGAAAAGAAGCCCACTTGCGACCAGTGTGCGCGGCGTGTAGTGCCATGTGGTGGCTACAAGAAGGACTTCAAGTGGAGGCCTTTCGAAGAGCCCATCGTCAGGGGGAAATCAAATGCCAAGTCACGCAAAGGTCGGTCGCTCGATCAAAGTGGCAAGCCCCTCCTAACAGACGTAGACCACATACCCACCTCTACCAACTCACCACCCCAAGACCACACCCGTACCCACAGTCACCAACATGATTTCACTAGTATACCCCCCAATCCACATTTGCCCCAGCCTCAACCGCCCTACCACTTCATGCATGCTTCACCTGCAGGCCCATCATTCCATCAGCCTCCACTCCAACTAGCAGAAAACTTGCCCGCTGCCCCATCCGCATCACCTTTCACAACAAAGCTTCCGTTGACATCACCTGTCGACTCACACGCACAAGCATCTCTAGCATCATGCAGTACGTTTGGGGCGGACAGCACAAGCACAGCACAAACTCAGGGGACAGCCGATTCCAGCGTCTCGTCTGGTCAATCACCCCGTCTTGTAGATCTCCTAATGCCGGGAACAGACCTCAGTGTGCCACCAGAAGAATACTCGTCGTTCCTAACTCAGCATGAAGCCTTCTACCAGCCCACCGGTCTAACCCCACCAGCGCCCACCGATCAGGACGACGAGAACGAGGAACTAGTACGCTACACTCGTCAAGACCCAGGAAACTGGGTCTTACCATTTCCCTCGCCTGCCTCATCTAGCTCAAGCGCATCTTCAGCAGACTCTCCTACCTGCGGAATACCCGCTCAGATACAGCTTTCTTCCTTTTCAGCAGAGTCTTTGTCACGTCGCTACCATCGCGACACATGCGGCGTGCTGTCTGTCAAAGATGGTCCAACCGAGAACCCATGGCGAACTTTAATCTGGCCTCTGACACGAGAGTGCCCTGCTCTCTATCACGCAATCGTCTCCATGACATCTTTTCACCAGTCCAAAGACATTCCCATTCTGCGCATCCAAGGAATCGACCATATGCGAAGTGCAGTTCATGCCCTGGCTGCAGGCCTACCAAACATGCGTGTCGATGCAGCCATCTCCACCACCTTGGTACTGGCTTTTGCTGAGTCTTGGGATCAACACATCAGCACAGGCATCAACCATATCAAAGGTGCAAAGGTCTTGATCAACCAAGCACTCATACAACATCGCCTAACGCCTATGAAGGGCGAGGAGTGGACTCGCTTAAAGTTTCTTTGCAATGCCTGGATATATATGGACGTCCTCGCTCGCTTGACGTCCACCGACGAAGATGAGACTTACGATGTCGACATCGTTCAAGAAAGTATTTACGGAACCGGCGAGACTGATACAACTCTTGATCCGTTGATGGGCTGTGCGCATACTCTGTTCCCGATTATTGGTCGCGTGGCAAATCTTGTCAGGAAGGTGCGAAGGTCCAACGGCAATGGACCTACAATTATCTCGCAAGCTATGCAGCTCAAATCCCAGCTCGAAGACTGGATCCCACCTTCCTTCATCGAAGACCCCGAGGACGAAACAACAAGCCCGCATGACACGATAAAAACCGCAATCGCCTACCAAAATGCAACGCTATTGTATCTACACCAGGCTGTTCCAGAGATTCCGTCACTGTCTTCGAGTGCGCTGGCAAAGAAGGTTCTGTGCGACTTGGCGACGGTTGATCCGCGCTCCCGCTCAATCATTGTACATATCTACCCCCTCATGGCAGCTGGCTGTGAGGCCACCAGTCCCGAGGAACGTGAATGGGTCAAAGCCCGATGGGAACTCATGTCTTCGCGCATGAAGTTGGGGATTATAGAACGGTGTCTGGAAGTCACAAAGGAAGTATGGAGTCGACGGGACGCATCCGCAGCAGAACGCATGGCCACACAAGTAGATGACAATTGCACACAAAGCTTCTCGTCGTATGCAACAATGCGAAACGATGAGTTCGACTTGCTAGACGAGCTCAACTGGAGAGACACACAGCAGTGGGAGCAGGCATCAATTCCCCATATGAGTTCAATGGACCCAGAGGTCACAGTCAAGGGACGATTGCATTGGCTGGGAGTCATGAAGGACTGGAACTGGGAGATTCTTCTTGGATGATTGCAAAGTCATCGTACTATTCATTTTAATCACGCACTCGATTGGCGTTTGGGTGTAAAGGGTGATACGCATCCAAGGTCGACGGTAGTTCGGCAGGACCAGGGGGCGTTCAGTAACACCTTCCAATCGTCCACGGGACCTGACAGGTTGCCGGAAATAACCTGTTTTCCCAGAAAAAGTAATGTTTTAGAACCTACTGTTGCAGTAACACTGGAACTGGTTCCAGAACGTTACGCAATTGGGTCATTTCAATATGTAATTTCAGCATGTCGCATTAGATACCTCTTACGATACACAATATCTTTCTTCTCTTCCCTCCACTACGGATACCCTTCTCCTTGAACTTGATCAGTGTGCAAGATCAAGATGCACCGGGAGTACGCAATCCCATGTAGTACCAACTTCAGCAATTTTTCCTTCCACGTACCTGCATAGTACAAGACTAGCTAGTCCAAAGGAAGGGGGAAAACAAGTACATTTCTCAATACGCCTCTCGCTTGGAACGCGGCTTCCGGGAGAGACGGGTATGACAGATAGTCTATGCCTAGATAGGAAACCATGGAAGCTGGGTCCTCTGACGTCTCTGTACCTGAGTTGCATGAGCTTGTCCTACTATTGAAAGTTAAATTGCAAAAGAAAAAAACGTGATTGTCAGGTGAGGTGCAGGATTGTGAATACAACATGAATGACCAAGTTTAACATGAATTTCCTTTTCAAAAGATGTCGGAGACTAATGATTCTACCACACAACTAGAATATACTCCATGGATCCTACCGCAATCATACTGCACCCAATATTAAAACCCATCGAAAAACTTTCCTCCAATCTATTTTCTAGCACACACACACACACATATGCAACATACGATTCACAGCACATCATCACCAACACATACGTAACCCCTCAACCCTCCGCGGCTGCAACCTTGCCATCCGCACACACACACATGGAAAAACACCTTCGTCACATACCCATTTGATCACATGCTCACTCAATCACCTCACACACGCCCATGCAAACCCCCCCGTGTCACTTCGCCCAAAACCCATGACGCGACCCTGCATGATGAAAGTTTGATCGAAAATTTCGGTATCGACGGGTATAGTTTGGTTGTACAAAAGAAAAAAAACTGACATGGCACTAGTGGTTGTGGGTGTGTGACTTGCGATGTGATGGTGGAAATGTGATGCTTGTCTGCCATGCTGTGATCATGTGTGGTTGAGTGTGCCGAAAGTTGGGTTTTTTTTTGGATTGGTAGTTATATAAAGGGATATGGGGTATGTGGTCGTTAGGAAAGAAAAGGGAAGGAAGGGAGGAGAATCAAGTTGATGACTTTGTTGTATGGTTTAAGTCGAGGGCGAATATACAGAGAATAGCCTACGGTGGCTTCCTTTGAATTCAATCGTATGTGATGTCGTCCCTTTTGGTCGTTCCTTCTTTGCTATTTTTTCCAATCACATCCTCATGCGCCCTTCTGTACCAGTTCTGATACTTGTTGCTCGATGGCCTTGTCGTCGAGGCCCTTGAGCGGCAACTTCCTCTCCTTTCCGAAATCTAGAATTGTAAACCGTAATTAGCATTCCTTGTCCTCTTTTCTCTTCCAATTACGTTTCTACGCACCGAATCTCGCAAAGACTGTGGGCTCGGTGCCGCTGGCTTCTCGGATCATAATAGGAATCGACGGGTTGGCCTTCTTCATGGCGGGATAGCTTCGGGTGAGGAAGTTCCTGTATCATTCCGTCAGCTACATTTTCTTTTCTAACTACCCCATGATGCGCAATCGCGTTTGCGACTCCCCTCGCTCAAAACATCTTGTATCGTGAAGGCGCATACCTTGTCGCAGCGCTGTGCTCGCTAGTCTGGCAAAACAGGAAGCGTAGCTCCTTGAGCCCGTTTCCAAATGCTTTCGAGGCCATTGCGAGAAACGTGGGCGTGAAGATCGTTTGCGTGAAAGGGTATCAATTGGAGGGAGGTGTCGTCACCCTCCAAAAGCGCCCGCCCGCGCCGACATTCAATGTTCGTCGAGCTGGCCCCCCCGGCAAGAACGCGCTATACCCAAAGTAGCCTAACACCGTCGGAGCAACGAAGCGCCATTGTTTAATCCCGGATTTGTCCCATCTGACGAACCCTCAGGCCCGACATCGCCGCCAACGACAAACGACCTCAGCATTTGTCAATTGCTTCCGGACCTCACTCACCCTTCTCCGGACAAAGCCCCGCCTCTTCCTATCCTGTCAAAAAAGCGAGAGGGACAGAAAACATAGCAATCATGTCGTTCCGCCCCGGCTCCCGCATCTTCAGCTCCTTCCGACCTTTCTTCCAACGCGCAAATGCCCGCCGACGAGTCAACACGGCTGCCGGTGCCGAGCCCGCTGGCTTCCAGAAGTTCTGGAACAGTCCCATCGGCCCAAAGACTGTGCATTTCTGGTACGCACTGCTTCGCCTCTTCCCTGTAGTCTTCCATTCTTTGCGACAAACGCACGTTTTTTTTGGGGGGAAGACTGGCGGCTTCGAACTTTCCCCCCGCAATGTCCGAAGCGTCGCGTGCGCAAGTGATTTTGCCCAAAACGCACCCTTTGCCAAACACAAACACAGCATATGAACGTCAACATGTACTGATTACTTCTGCAGGGCCCCAGTAATGAAATGGGGCATGGTCCTCGCCGGCGCCTCCGACTTCTCCCGCCCCGCCGAATCCCTCTCCTTCACCCAGAACTTTGCCCTCATGTGCACAGGTGCCATCTGGACCCGCTGGTGCTTCGTCATCCGCCCCAAGAACATTGCTCTCGCCGCTGTCAACTTCCTCGTCTTTTGTGTCGGTGCGACTCAGGTCGGTCGTATTTATCTCTACAACCAGAGCCTGAAGAACACAGAGGGCCAGGCAAAGGGTGAGTTGCAGGATTTGAAGAACACCGCCCAAAAGGCGGAGAAGGCGTTGAAGTAAAGTGTGGGTTGTTGGACAAGTTTTATAGACTTGGGCATGAGTGGGGAGATCATGAGGGACGTTTTTTTTGTTGCCCTTGATTCTTTTCAAGGAGAGCAAGTGGGCCAGATGAAGAATAAGTCGAAATTCATTCATGTCCATCCATCATCTACCCAGTGCTAGCATTTCAGGAGTAAATGATGGTATCATATGTGGCTAGTCTTGATGATTTTCGACGGGAGATAGAAATACCATGAACTCTTTTGTGTGTAAATCCACAGCCTCATCCCCAAAAATCTCTACCTCTATTTTCCTTGCCTCGTTGGAAAACGCACACTACCACAAGTAAACTTGCCTGAAATTTTCGGACAAGTACAACATCCAGGGTTTCTGTATCTCTCGAGAAAAGGAAAATACTTATACACGATAATGTATTACATTAGTGGTTACTGAACTCCGTTAGCATGTGAGATTGTAGAAAGGGGAAAGAAAGGGGAAGCCCGTGACCAAAGAAACAGAAGAAGAGATAAGAAGAAGAAGAAAAAGAGGAAGAAGAAAAAACGTTGCAGCTGTATTACATGGCCCACGGCAAACGTATACATCATGGGTAGGGTATCAACTCTGCGTAATCGTACAACACCACCATTTCCCGCATAAACCCACAAAAGCAAACTCCAAGAAAGAACCGAAAAAAAAACGGACGAAAAGAAAACACACTGCCTGAACCTCAATAATAACTCAACCCCGAAGCCCTAACCTTCTTCTTACTCTTCTTCTTCGTCTTAGTAGGCGTAGGACTCACCACATCTCTGCGCCCCACCCCGGTCGCTCTCTCCCTCTTCCTATCCTCACTCCCCATCATCTTACTCGCGCCACCCGTCATGAAATCACCGTACGCACTCTCAGGATACAGCGCAGGCGTCGTGGTGCCGCTGGGCATCCACTCACTGCCGTCTTCCCAGGCGCTGCCTTCAGCGTGCGCGGCGCGGACACCCTCGATGTACGCTTCCATTCTGGAGCGCTCGTCGTCGTCTTCGAGGCCGCAGCCGCAACCGCAGCCGACGATGCACTCGCCTTCGTCAACGCCGATTTCGTCGCCCATGCAGTCCATGTGTGCAACATGGCCGCACGCGGGACATAGGTTGAAGAGGCCGGAGACGCGGATCCAGCAGATGCTGCAGCTGTAGGTGGTTTCCACCTCTGCGGGCTTGGAGATTTCCGTGCTGACGGTGGGGGCTGGGCGGCTTTCGCGCCACGATGAACCGCCGGAGACGTTGGATGTGCCTCGTGAGAGGCTTGGTCTGCTGGACCGGCTTGGGGGCGGTTGCAGTTTGGACTGAGCAGGTGATGTGCTTAGTCCAGCAAGGCTCTCGTCAAGCTCTGCAGTGGGCGTGCGAACTGGTATCGAGAGACGCAAGTATTGCTCCGGAGGAATGAATGCATCCATGGGTAGGTCCGCTATCTGTTCTTCCGACAGGATGTTTGTTATGGTGCTGGGCTGGAACTCTGTAGCCTCTGGATTGAAGGAGAAGTGCTTTGGAGATGCAGTAGATAGGCGCTTCGATTGCACCGTAGTGGGCGTTGGAGGCACTAATGTTGTTGAGGCCCTTGATACGCGTTGAGCTATCTTCTCATCCTCCTCCTCCTCTTCTTCGTCATCGCTAGACCGTTTGATCGCAAGTGAAATCGAGCCAGACTTTGAGCTGGTACGAGAATACTCGACTGGAAAGTACGAAACAAGCCCATTAAACTTGAGTACTTCAGCTCGAGCACTGACTAGGCCCCACCGATTCAGCATCTCAGCATACTGCTCTCGCCAGACACGATGTAGCCAATCTTTACTTGCATCTAGTAACGGCCGGCTGAAACATGCCTCATCATCGAACTGGTCTTGGTTTTTTAGTGTAACCTTGATAGCCCTGCCACCATCGCCCTCTCGAGGCGTGCCGGGCACATTGCGTTCTTTGACACCTGTCGTGGCGTAGCTGCCTTCATCATCCACCTTTTCGTAGTCCGAGTCGGATTCGCCAATATAGTTGATATCGACGTGCTCAGACTGTCCGAAGCTTGCGCGCTTTCCTTGCTTTGTGCGTGGAGCTGCCATGCTGTTTTGGTCATGAGAGTCACTTCCATAGAATGTCGTTGTTCCCCAAGTCACCCCACTAGTCGGCGCAGATGTAGAGAGATCTTCGATCCGTGACCTGACCGGAGGCGACGAAGACATTGCATTCGAAAAAGGCCGTGACAATGCTGCTACAGCACTCGCAAAGTTTGCAGTCGAGCTCTTCTTATGAGCTGTATGGCTATTCTCTGGCGATGTTCCATATGGAGTGTGATTTGCTGTATAAGCATTTCTAATTGGAGGTATTTGAGACAAGAGAGGTGGCGTGTTGCCAGTCGAGTAGGGTGTAACGGGGTCCGAATGGAATGCGTCGCTACTCCATGGCCCGTTCGAACTCCCATGACTTCCGTAGATATCGAGATTCTTAACGGATCTCTGGGAACCAGATTCATTGACCGGGGTTGCAAAGCGGGAATACGAAGGCGTAGGTGGGATGGAAATCGTGGGCTTGAACAAACTCCATGCCGCGTCCGACGAGGGGAAGTAGTCTAGAGAGAACGCCGGTGCTTCCATAGACATAGGGAGCTGAGATTGCCGCATTTTAGCCATGGCTGAGGTCACACCTTCGCGCGTAGCAGGTTCCGCAAATATACAAGACAACATAGCAAGCATCTGAACATCTGCCAGGCGTTCAAAGTGGTCAAAAAGTGCAGGTATCAGCCAAGTGACGATAGGATGATGACCCCACTTGACTCGAGCATTCAGCTGAGGGTTGGTCACGCTTTCTGACTCGTCAAACGCGAGGTCGAGCCCACTGTCTTTACGTTTGATCCTTACAAGAGCCCTTCGGGCCAGCACAAGGACCTGGTCTCTCCGATATTGTTGAGGAAGTATCTCCACAGGTACTTCATTGCTCAAAATTAGTTTAAAAAGCATCCAGATATCGGCAAGATCCTCGAATCCATGACTTCTTGCTACTTCAGAGTTGTGCTCGCAAATGATGGGCCCAGGGCCAAAAATGCGATATTCCTCCGCAAGTACACGCTTGCTCGGAACCATGTCATCTGTAGCCGAGAACAGGATCGACACTGTAGATTTGGTCTTGGATGGCTGTTTTGCCACACCACCCGAAGAAGGCAACGAGTTCCGTGACTGAAAGCGAGAAATAGATTTCTGCCAAGCCAGAGGAGGCTGAAAGTTGCCAATACGTGCACTCCCGTCATGATCAGACCCAGAAGAAGACGACGGAGTGGAAGAAGTTTCCCAAGAACCAACAGAAGAGGATGGAGACGACGCTCCATCTGAATCCTCAGCACGACGGGAAGTAAAGCGACCAAAAGAGTCAAAGATATCGTTCTTCAGGCCACTTTGGCGAAGATTTCTCGCAATCTGAAATCTGAACACCTCTGAGCCAGGCATTGATTTTACTGGTGGTATCCTTGCAACCACAAGGGACCCATCGGCTGAGAACCGGGCAGTACACTGAATGGGAAGGGGAATGTCAGCGTTCATATGAGAGGATTGCATCACGTCATCAGTAAACTCGCCCTCGTGATCCTCGTCTTCGCTGGAACTTTCTCCAGGCAAGGGTCCAAGATCTTCGAGTGGTTCAACGTCTTCGCCCAGGTCCAGGCTATCGTCCAAAGCGCGCTCTCCCAAAGCATACGAGAGTACTGCCTCCAGAGCCTCGCGTTCCTGTTCAGCACAGGTAGCAGCGATACGATGCATATTGTGGACTAGTTCTTCTTGGTGTTCTTTGCTGATGGATGCCGTTGTCCTCTCGAATTCAATATCTAGTGGGGTTGGTATCCTGTGGCGAATGGAATCGGGCTGCCCATTTTCAACAGCTTTGGGATAAGCAGACGGAAACCTGATAGTAAATCGAAGAAACACAAGCTTTGCGCCATCAGTTGCAGGATCGTGGTCACCCCAGGGCCCGTTGAACGAGACCTTGATGTAGCGACCCGGCACGTCAATCTCTTCAAAAGCGAGCTTCTTGTATTTGTTGCCGACATATGATATCTCAGCACCGAGGTCATTCTGCTCTTGGTACGGGTACTTCTCGCCAAGATCCTGCTGGTTGGGCCGAGCGTGAATATCATTGACATTATTGTGACGATCACCCCCGAATTTGACTCCGTTGATCCAAGTGATGTGGTTAACAACACGTGGGTCGTTGCGGCGAATGGGCTGGGCAGTCATGGTCTCTCTCTGCACTATCTCTGGATGTATCTTGGCGTGTGTTTGTCCAGGAAAGCGAGAAGTATGAACGTCTTCGTTGAGGGAGTAGTTCTGCAGCAAGGTTGACAAATTCCCTTTCCGTTGTTGGCGTGGTGGACCAAAGTAGTCCCGATCACCTGCAGTAGTAGTAGGAATAGGACCATCGCGATAAGATACATAGGTAGCCCCTCTACGCGTCGCACTGGGCTCTTCGACAAGACGTTCGCCTTTTCGATAGCCGACAGCCTTTTCGAGAAGCTTGGGATCGAGGTGATGAAGTTGTAGGCGCCTGTCGGTCCCCCAAGAAATCAACTGGAAGTCACGATTATCGATGCCGTAGTCAGTAGAGCCACGAGAACGCCATAGGAACTCGCGGACTTGAGCATCAGAATCATGCTTTTGAAAGGCGTGAACTGGCTCATTATTAAAGGTTGACGCATCGCTATCGTTGACATGCTTGTATAACCAAAGATTCGAATTACCTCGTTGCGGCATGGCAAGAATGCCGTGAGGAAAGGGTGTGTGGCGCGCTCGCCATACAGGATAGTGAGTGCGGATGACGCGCCGGGGGGCAGTGATATGATCAGACCTTCCTACATTGCTCCAAAGCTTGATGGTCGCGTCCAAAGAACATGTCATGATTTTGCTTGGGTCGTTGCGGTTCCAGTCAATACCGTAGATCTTGGTGGTATGGGCGGCAATGGTCGAGAGGGGAGTCGCTCCATGGCGAGTATCCCAGATGTGGAGGTACTTGTCGTGGGCGCTGGCAATAATTTTGTCATTCTGGCGATTCCATTTGACTTGGGTTGCTCCAGCCGTATAGTCGGCGAGCTTCAACGGGGCTTGCCTACTCCGGAGGTCATGTATGAAGACGAAGCTGTCAACTCCACATGTCGCGAGTAAGTCTGGATGATGGGCAGAGAAATTGATGTCTGTGATGGCGCGTTCATGGGCGCGTAGCGTGTATTCAATGGGTGCTTTCTTGCTGTTGTACGGCATGGAGAGATTGTATACGAGCGCGAGCTGATTGCGGGTAGTAGCAATCCATTCTGCGCGTGCCGCAAAGGGTGACCACTGCACATCAGCGACATCCCACGACGATTGGTTTGGAATGAAACGAGGTAACGAAAAAAGATTGTCCAAGTCAATGATGCGGAGGCCGCTCTTGCTGGCAAGGACGATGTCGCGGCCTGCTGGGCTTATGCTGGCAGCGCCAATCTCGTCATCTACTTTGACCTCGACATCGCGATCAAACGTCGGCGACTGGAACGCTGATAGAGGCCCACCTGCCGTGGCCGCCATCTTGTTGCTGGCCGTCTCGGGCATGCGCGTGTAGTCGTGATGGCGATGGTAATGAAGCAGGCAGTGGCTCCCCTGTCCAGGCGTCTCTAGCGCCGCTGGCCGATTACGCAACATCACACATGCATGTCTAGCCCTTTGGCCCTACCCAAGACCAGACGACACAGGCTTGCTCTTCCAAGCGTAGAGAAAGAAAACTCCTACACACACCTTTTGTTGGTACCGAAAAGCATATTCGCTTTCTCCACACGAGCCCTCGCCCTTCACAACCTCTCGCTCTACACAAGCGGCATCCTGCCCCACCATCAGCTATGGCACTGCCCAAGCGAATCATCAAGGAAACCGAGCGCCTGGTCAACGAGCCGTAGGTATTCCCGACGGTATGGCATGCTATTTTACTGATCTGGGATCCCCGTGTAGTGTTCAAGGAATCAGCGCGACGCCGCACGACGACAACCTGAGGTATTTCGATGTTACCATTGACGGCCCTAGCCAGTCGCCTTATGAAGGTATGCTGGTGCCCAGTAATGTTGAAGTTTTCAACTGACAAACCCTTCATAGGTGGTGTCTTCAAGTTAGAGCTATTTCTCCCAGATGACTACCCCATGACGCCGCCCAAGGTCCGCTTTCTCACAAAAATCTATCACCCCAACATTGATCGTCTGGGTCGCATCTGCCTTGATGTTCTGAAAAGTAAGTTTGGAGTCATACTTCACAATACCGAGGCTTTGCTAACATGTTCAGGTAACTGGTCGCCTGCCCTCCAGATTCGTACGATCCTACTCTCGATCCAAGCTCTTTTGGGCGCGCCCAACCCTGACGATCCCCTTGCGAACGATGTTGCCCAGGCATGGAAGGAGAACAAGAATCAGGCTATTCAGACAGCTCAAGAATGGACACAACAGTACGCGAAGCCGTGAGCCTACATCTTTGACATCACCCAACTCGGCGATACTTTAACGTTGTCATGGGCAGGGAAGCTGTCCTCTTTCCCCAACGTTCTGTATGGGGTTCCAAAAGCACAGCCTCCCACCATGACACGTAGCGATGATTCATTAGGCTTTCGAAGGCTCACATATAACGGACTGACCCCATTATCTTTGCCCATCTCTTTTGTTTAGTATTAGCCACTTTGCTGCTTCTGCAAGCCCTGGCGTTGGATGGACAATCTGGACAGCATGATAGCGATATTCCCCGTTGGCATAATTGAGAAATATATCGTTCTCTCTTAGGCCGGATAGTCACCAACACTTGGACCATGGAAATGAATTACGATCCCAAAGTTTCGTGCCATTGTTGCGTGATGTGCCATTTGACGTAAAGCATAGTCGTGACCCACGTAGCAACCCGTCTTACTGTGTAGCATGCATTTGCTGCAATATCTGAACCAGCACACAGCAGATTTTTAGCTACAGCCATTCATGTAGATGGTGTTTTCCTCCGTGATGCTCTAGCTTCAAAGACTGTATCGTGGGCGTTTCTGCGTGTTCATTTTGAGCAAATGGTGAGCACGTCCGCAAGTAGCTTCCAGGGTTCCGTTGGTGGGGAATAGGATGCCGGACAATTTGCTTGTCCCAAGCCCCTCATCGACACAACATCCCCACCCCCATGTCGACATCAGTCAGCTTTCGGCCTTGCGCTGTCGTTTTCTGCACTCAGCTCTCTTTATTCCTGTCCTTGTTTCTCGATAAATGAGGCTATGCTCTGCTGCTTTCGTCGTCCGCCTCCTGGCCTCTCCATTGTGGATTGAGCTTTGGCGCTTCTTCACATCGAGCCTCTCCTCCCCCCGCCGTCCCTCCCCCTGCCAAATGTTGGATATCCAAACACAGAGAGCAACATAATAAGTGTCTGGTCTGGAATCTTAGCCTCTTTGCGGCTCCAGGGGCGATGCTTCTCTTCCAGAAAGCCGGTCGCGTCCTGTCCGCAACCTCGCCAAGACCCCAGTCGATGGATATTCCTAGCGGAGGTACCTCCTCTGCCGGAGCACACACACACCACGAGGGACACCCTTCTATCATGCATGACAAGGCATAGATGATGCTTGCCATAGCCAGAATCATTGCTGCCCCGCGTTGGGCACAGGCATACACACAGAAACGTGGCGCGGATGAATGACACCGTGGTTCCAGAGCCAAAGCTATGCGGGAGGCAGCATCAGCGGCTGGCGTGTAGGGCATCCTACATATCAAGCACACCCCTAACAGCGAGTCACCAGCGCCTGCAGCATAGGCGGAAGCCCGTAACTGACGACGATGGCATGCTGCCGGCTCCAATTCGTTCGCCTATACGCCCCGCGGGACGCGAATGGAACGACTCAAAGATCACAACACAAGGGCAGCCGACAGGCGCCACACAACACATAACCAAGGATCCTGAGCATCGACGCCGAATGCGATTTGTCGGTAGAAGCAGATGTCATGGTGTAATTATTGGCACAGTGTGCCTTCTCCCGCAAGTATCCCCCCATTGAGTTCTGTGTACGTGGCTGACGATGAACGTTTTCTTCTTAGGCCATAATCGCAAATTCGCGTGAATTCTTGCAGAGCTGAATACGAAGCCATAGAACATACGAAGACGTACAATGTCCCAAACTGCAGCGACGAGGCTGTCGGTTTTAATTTGGCCTTCCATAATACGATATCGCGCTCCGCCCGACAAGAAGGTTGACAACGGCATCGACATAGTGACGGCCACCTTCCTTGGCAAACGGAACACAAGCAGAACTTCGAGGCCATGAGGGGCACTTCACTGGCCATTATCGGCGATGGCATCGTTGCTCTCTTTGGTGAGACCATCGGCGGAGCATTGTCATGAGCGCCAAATGCTTGGATGTGATCCGTACAAGGCATTAGTAATGCGGTATGATGGGAGCTGGCATATCCGCTTTGACAAGCGCATTGAGCTTGAGTAAGAGCTAGGAGATTCGACATTGAGTACCGTACTTCGTGATCATGACATGAACGAGAGCGACAAGCGGCACGTCTCCGCTTCACACTGGATGTCTCATTGAGGGATGTGACATCTCCTCTTATCATACTTCATGGCGGAGATGTATGGGTTGAGTTTGACTTGGACATCATGACTTTTAGATCCCGCTCAACCCACGGCCTTGCTGGAGCAAGCTTATGGATGGTTGCTATTGATCTTGACGAGAACGACGGTTCCACCTGGACAGTGGTTTTAGTGGACGGCATGCTTTCAGGCGGCATGTCAAGGTACCTTGGCGACAGTTGTCGGCTGAAGTCCACACAGGCCAGACCCGCGCTTCGGTGTTCATCCTCAGAAGAACATATCCCATGACCGTCTTATTCATAGACTTCAGTCAACGCCTCGAGGAGTATTCGGATCATCGACTTGGCTCCCTTGGTCAAAGCATGTGTCTGTTGGACCCATTCGTTGGCGATATTCTCATTGCCGGTATGACACATTGTCATATTTCAATCATGTATGAATGGACTGTTCAGGCCATGAACTTTGCGTGCATCGGTCGATGCGCCTCCGCATCTGCACCAGGACAACTTGTTGAGTTTACCGGACAAGACCACGGTAAAGAACAAGCTACCAACGACATCGCCAGATAGGATACATCATACCGACGGATGGTCCTTTCGGAGTTTTTTGGGTCCTTCGAATATTTTGATCACCCGTCGTGGATTGGATTGCCCAGGCGTGCTGTCATGTCAGCCCAAGTCGTAGCTTCCACCCCCTGGAAAGACCACACGCGCTATTTCGGCTGGAGTGGTGTATACATTGCCCTTCACAAGAGTTCGTGCCTATGGTAGCTATATGTATCGGTCAAGATTTTGCAGTACCAAGAGACGCTGATGTTGCTTGGTTTGGGTGAGAAGCCCTAGGCTACCCTCAAACTGGTTGAAGGCAGCATGAATCTTCCGTTTGCAGAAGCGTATCTCAGTATCGGAACTTCCCATGGTTCTAGCTCTTCTTATGGATTCTTCTGGTCGGAGAAATTGAGAGGAGCCCAACTCATAACGATCCTGAGAAGCAATACGCCAGCGAGTATCATCCGGGTCAGAATAACATGATCCTTCTTTTTCTCCTCTTGAGCAGAAGAAGGTTATTCGGCAGCGCAACCAGATGTGCCTGAGGAGTCTGCGGCGGAACCTGATTGTTATCGCGATTTTCTGCCAAGTCGAATGGTGCCCAGGAAAGTTCCATTGAGCTCTCGGGCCACTTCGAATTTGCTCCTTGTTCTCCTTATCCAAGTCTGTTACTGTCCGGCGAGGTATGGTCTGCGGAACCCTCTCTTAACTGCACCATGCAACTGGTCTTGTATGTCGGTATCCAGATACCTGAGATGTGGTACCGATCTTCTGCATCTGCCTGTATGGTTGCTAGTTCTGGGGATCTGAAACAAAGAAAGCTTTGGGATATACGATCGATCACCAGCGTACCCGATGGAGATGTGCCTCGATGTACAGTCTCTGAATGGCCGTCTGCAGGAGCGGCAGCCTTAGTGCCAGCAGGACCGTCGTTTCTGGCTCTTCATACATCGCCCATCTCTTAAGAATGGTATCCTTGCGCGAAAGAGAGACTGGTAGCCGTTCGAGGGCTTGATGCGAGGTGCTTCATGCGCTGTTTTGTGAACTGGTGATCGGGCACCAGAATTTCGCAGGCCAGTAGCAAGCCATGATGCTGATCTTGCGTTTTGCATCTACCACACCTGTTAGCTGGGTTGAAGATGCGACTTGAACTGCGCGATGGTATGAATCTGCCTGGGGACTCTCAACCATACATTTGAAAGTGCGTTTGTCGGCCTTTGGCTTTGCTCGGTGGTCACCACAATGTGTCGGCGCCCTCGGGTAAACAACATCCACACATACGATTCCTTGTTTGGCCAAATGGTGTTGTATTTCGACGGCAGGGCTCTCGAATGTTTCGATTCATTGCCCAACGATGGTCTTTGGTAGACTGGGTAACGCGATGACTCTGCGGCCGAGGCGGCGTCTCGTACTCGAGGTGTTGTTTACGAACAAAGACTTTCATGACTGGACAACCGAGTCGGTCGAGGACATTGTAAAGAATCTGTCGTCCCTTTCAAGCCGGCCGGGATTGTAAAAAAATCTCATAACCAGAGTACGCATTGTGCAGGGAGGGGTACTGAATTCCCTTTAAGCCTTGCAAGAGGGGCAGACATCGAGCTGCGGTACGCTGGGAGTGATCATCTACACAGCTGATGTCAGTCTTCATCGACATGCACTGTTGTCATACTTGCCCACATTGGTTTCTCTCAGCTGTTTGTCAATCACAGCAAGAGCTCCCGTGGTGTTGTTCGTTGCTCAGGGTTGTAGCGACCTTCGCGGAGCTTGCTGCAGCAAGTGTGATCTTGCAGAGATGAGCAAGGTGTCTGCAATTGCCATTGCCCCTTGTTGGAGCCTCTGTATTCATCTTGATCCCAAGTCGCTTTATCTCCGTTGTTGCATTCGGGAGATGCGCGATAGGAAGTCAAAGGGATGTATGCAGGCGCTCGTAGCGGCGATTCGTTGCTTCGACTAGGTTCGCGCTGCATACAAGGGCATTGTACAATGCATCAGGAGCCTATTCTGTTCTCATGAGAAGAGGTTAATCGATTCGCAAAGAATGGTTCGCGTCATCGCAGCGATTCAACTTATTGCAGTCGAGAGATTGCCGTTCACAAGATGTCCGGAAGAGATCCAAGCTGGACACTGCCATTACCTCCTGCATCTACATGAGGTTGTATCAGACCTTCTCAAGTCACTCATGACTCTCCTTGGAGTGTGGTGTGTAGATCCTTCAGGACCATTGTCTGCCTCATGGGTGACTCGCCTGATGGTGTTGAGGTCCGCTGCCGCGTCGAAGGTCTTGTAAAGGACATACCTTGAGCACACATGAGGTCGCTACTCCGTTCTAGAGAAGCGTCTGCAAGCTTTCATGAGTAGAAAGACATCGCCGGCTTGTATGGTGATGGTCTCGCGTTGGTGTCGTTGTCGTTGAAGGGGGGAGAGGGGCACAATGTCAACTCCCCGCCAAGGCTCATTGCCCGCGCGCTCGATGGATGCAACACCAGGTCAGCCAGCACAGGCAAATAAGAAAAGGCATGCATGAGGCATTGAGGCAATGAGGAGAAGGCCTGCATGAAGCAATGCTCGGTCCTAAGCAGAGTTGCTGTAAGGTGTCTCTGTGGTGGATGGAGAAGCAAGGTCAGGTCAAGACTGTGCAGAAAGATATGGACTGGTAGGGCAATGGCCCCAACCAATTCCGCAGCAAGATGGAGCATCACAAGGCACGACTATGCCCTCTGTTTGTCACGCAGGACCCCTGGGAGGTGGTATCGTCCCCGCCTTGGCCAATGTTCATGTTGCCCCGTGCATTCATTCTGCCACCCAAAATGATATCACACCTGACCCCGCCGACTTTCTTTGGGTATATAAGTTATTAAATCCTCGATACTTTCATTAAGCAGCTTCCATGCTATAGGATGGCATACGGCAATACCCAGCCAGAGAGGGTAGGTGAATGGCGAATGGGCCAGGGTCAGGTACGTCCAATTTGATTTCTGCGTTCCGTCCGGATAGAGGTTCGACTGCGGCGAGAGGTTCGATTCCAGCAAAAGACGTAGGTTGTATCAGGAGGTGAGTATAGGACTAACAAGGGCCTGATACAACCGAACTTTTTGCACTTTTTTGCTCCTGGAGAGGATATAGGCTGAGGATGAAGCTCGGCTATGGACTGCAGCATTTTTTATTCCCCAGCTGGAGCTGTTGCACGTTGTGTATATACGAGAGCGCTGCAGGCGGTCTTTTTGGTTGCTTTTTTTGCAGCTTCGATGACCCCTTCTGCACGCCGCCATGACCACACGGATTGCATCACAACATCACGTTCAACCCCGGCAGCGCGTTATCTAGCGCTTCTCTGGGAATGACTACGACTAAAGATGAGGCGGGGTCATCTGGTCATCTGGTGCAGAGACAGTGTTCTTATGGCAAGATCATGGCTCGATTTCTACAAGAGCTTTGCTGCGTTGAAAATCCACCGCCCAGGGGTACAATCGACCAAAAGAAGCAACGCATAACTGCTACTGAGACGTAGGTTCTGAAGAATGAACGAACATGAGAGGTAGGCGCAAGCATGATATGTTGATATCCCGGCTTGCAGTGCAATGTGATTATCTGCCTCACAGTGCACAAGCACAGGTTTCGCGTCGACGATGAGTCGCATTGCACCACTTCCAAAGCCCTCAGAAAAGGCCGCGTCAATATCAGCCTTTATTTGGGCAAGATTGCGCAACTACCATATATGCACGGTAGGAATTGATTGCGCAATTCTCAGAAATTGATTATTCGCCTAAGCGACTTAGAGAAATTCTGGGGTGAGTACAACAGCAATGGAAGCTATTTTCAATCACCGTGGGCAACCCACAACAATGAAAGCAATTCTCATCAACATGAACAACTAAGACACCTGAATTTCTCACGTCAAGTTTCTTTATCGTACAGCTACTGGGATACGCGCAAATTGGCGCGAGCACAACTGGATATCGCACGGGTTTGATCGATCACATGATTAGATTGATTACACAACATGGAATGCTACATGCGCGCCTCTCGCGCTTGACACCAAAACTCCGATCCTCATACGCTCCAGCCCTCCGCAGCCCCAATTTGGCCCCTCGTCTCTCTCCCGTTGCCTCTCACTACAGCCAATGACACGCGCGACGTCGGACCGATGTGCGCGGAAACAACGCCCGGTACGATCGTCATACCGTCCCACGCGAACCTGTTTCCTCTCCTTGCATGAGTGGGGTAGTGTGTGGAGTCCGACCTCCATCAAGCGTTGCGCGTTCGCCCGGAAAAGAATCCCAGTAGTGTGGGGGTATAAGGGAGAAGAAGCAAAGAGCTTGGAAATGTGGCGTGATGCGTACTGCTCGTGTCCTCGATATGGTGTGCAGAAAAGAACAAGGGAAGACAGGTGATGGAGTTCTGCACAGTCTACTCTCCTCGCGCCTACGAAGGCCTCTTTGCGGCCATGGGCGCTGTAAGATCTTTCGATCTGACATGCTCAATCCTGTCTGGCCCTGGGGTTCAGGGCCGAATGGAGAGCGACATGTAATATTTCACACGCTCGTTTTCTTCTTCTGACTGAACGCACTTGTAAAATCCGTTTCTAGCTCTTCGAGGTTTGAGTATGCAGATGAGAGTCTCGGACTTGGAGGTGAAAGATGTGCGCATATTTCTGGCATCTGTTGCTTCTTTGTCAGTACGCGCACTGTGAAGAGCTTACCGACATGTTGCGGGGGGACTAGAAAGGACTTACGGAACATGCAGAGTCGGAGCGGGGACGTTGTATGTACTGTTGGCTTTGTGCTTGAGCTTCTATGGCTTGCATTTCGTAGGTGTATGTTATGCGCAGGAGATCGTGGATTGTGAGGTGTGTGGTCGACATGGCTGATTTGGCGACAGCGTCCCTTGTTTGAAAAGCAGGGAGTGATTCGAGTTGGGACTTGATTTTCTTTTCGGTTCTGGATATATAGTACAACAAGGACGTCGAAAGAGGAGGATTAGAGCTGGTGTTCTCAGAAGTTGCAGATGGGCGACCCGAGGGGTGTGGAGGACTTGGCTATATAACGCGCGTTGGCCTCCCTCGTTCTGCTTATTTGAGGTTGCTCACAAACACCTCTGCTATGATTGGTCGGCGCCAGCAACCGACTATGCTTCGCAAAGGAACACGCAATGCAGGGACTTTGTCAAAAGCGTGGAGCCACGTGTGGAAACTCGCGTCCTCCCGAGTCCAGGTCAGTACAATGTGGGTTTCAGACTAGCCAAGTTCAAGTCGTGGTTGCAAGTAGTTGGAGATGGGCGACTTGTTGATTGTGACAGCTCAGGAGCTTTATGTGAAGAGCTGACACAGACTATGCGGCATGCGTCATGCATCAGCCGTCTGGAAGTGTCGCACTGATGGGCAGCTGCTATGCTGAAAAGAGTTTAATTTCAACCTTGCAGAACTTGGATCTATTCTCTGTTTCGCTGTTCATGCTGCAGTGAGCTACTTTCTATTGGTGCCTGCGCAATACTCTACTGCAGGCGCACGGGGTTGGCGTCCTCCGGCGGAGATAAACACCGACTCCGACTTCTCCGACTGCACCGCCTCGTGAACAATGAAACGTTTATGTTGATGCCTAGAGATTACCGGATGATAACGCTACTGCCACTGAGATTTCAGCCAAAGGACGAGTGGTGTTAACGCCGAGCAGAGACATCCGAGTCCAACAAAGTGGGTGATCAATGGGCTAAGGCAACAGCTTTTGTCTTTGTTGCGTGACAACAAGCCCCTTGTTGAGATACCGACTACTCCTACCTGTACCGAGCTGAGACAATGGCTGATCACCAATACGTTCTCTCGAGTCAAAATAGTATCGCACGCGTTGTGATTTCGACATGATAAACGCTGACCGAGAGCGATAATTAAATTGGATCTATGTTTCTAATGCTGATACATACCTCTATTGTACCTTTTTGCCACAGCCGCCCCCATACTTCAATCCACTCCAGTCTGCTGGGTAGTCACACCTTGGATAGAAAAAAAAGTAATCTATGTACTTTACCTACCCATTTTAGGCCAGCATGATCAGCTACTACCCATACTGGGAACCTGATCTTCTATCCTGTGTAATAACGGCACGCGCTCGGCATCCACATTACCCTCGCCCTCGGGATCAGGATACACCATCTTCTTCCACTCGCCCTTGCCCACTTTGCTGACTCTCCAGGTGCCCTGTTCCGCCGCTTCCTTAAAGAATTCCATGTTCTCATCAAAAGTGCGTCCACCCGTCTCCGGCAGATAGACGTACGTCCATAGGCCGGCAAAAGCATTGGTACCTGCAAACACAAGGAAGATATAGTAGTCCAAGTTGTTGAAAAGCACTGGCGTAAGAAACGTAATAGCAAAGTTGGCCAAGCCCCAGATAATGACGGAGATGGCAGTTCCCTGTGCGCGGGCAGTGGTGGGGTACACTTCAGTTGGGAACAGCCAGACAGTCGAAAGCCAGCCGATTCCGAAAGCGCCGGTAGCTACGAAGAGAACAACTGTGCCGATGATACCGGGGACATACACGGGGATGTGCAGAGAGTCAGAATTTGCTACGAGGCCGCCGAAGAGAGCGAGAAGTGCAAAGGAAGTCGATAAGATGATAGAGCCATGAATGAGGATCTTGCGGCGACCGATGGCATCGATGAGAAGCCAAGCGAGGGTCATGAGAAAAAAGTATGATGTGTAGTTTCCCAGGGTGAGATATTCTGAGTTGCGAACTGAGAAGCCAAGTAACTGCGATGCACTTTAGTACTGTTTCCCTGCATAAGGTCTCCAGGACTTAGTGTCACATACCTCGAAGATTTGTGGCCCATAAACGCTGACCGCGCCATATCCAGTCAATGCCTGGTTGACCTGAGACATGACTGTGATCATTGTAGGGTGGAACTGTGGGTGTCCAGGTGTCAACATGTCCATATAGCCAGCCTTCTCATCCTTCTCTTTCTTGTGCTGCTCCAAGAGCTCTTCAAGCTTATCCTTTCCTTGCTCTCCATAAATATCTTCCATTGCCTCTTCTGCCTGTTCCTTGTGGTCATGGAAAATAAGCCAGCGCGGAGACTCTGGAAGACGCTCCACGAACGCAATCAGCAGGACAGGATAGACCTGCATGACGATAATGGGGATGCGCCACGCCCACTGGTTTTCCTTGCCGAGCAGAATCGTTACAAGGAGATTGATGCCAAAAGCCATGACGAGACCGAAAATATTGCTCTGAAACTCTTGCGCCAGAGCCTTACCACGGGAATCATCTGAACTCAACTCGGAAGAGTACGTTGGGATTACCGCGTCGATACCGCCAACGCCGAGACCCATGATCACCCTTCCCGTCAACATGATACCCAAAGCTACCTGGCTGCTCTTCCCAAGCATGCCCATCCCACTAACAAACATGAGCAGATTCCCCAACGAAGCCGTTGCCAAACTGAAAAAGATGCTTCTTTTCCTCCCCAGCTCATCAGCGAGTTTGGAGAAAAGGACGGCGCCTACAGCACACCCGAGGTAGTAAACGGCCACGATGACACCGACCATGGGGGACTCCTCGTACAAGCCCATGGTCTCGAGGTAGTTGTAGTTTGTGTTGATGAGCGACATCATGCCCTGGTCGTAGCCGTACAGCGCAATGGCTGTCGCGGAGAAGATGACGACATTGGTTTGTTTGTCCTTTATTGCTTGTGCTATAAACGACATTGTGGTATGTGTATATGTGGCCTTGAAGGCCTAGGCAAGGACTCAGGATAGTCTGTATGAAGCGCTCGGAGATTTAGCTGGCTATTAATGTAGCTATTAGAAAGTTTGCAATAAAGGCGTATGGGAAAGCTGGAGAGAAGATCAAAGTTAAAAAACGTCTCGCTCTGACGTATACATATGCCCCGGTTGGATTAGTTATTAGACATTGAATATACGCTACTTTTTTCACGTTTTCCTTGGTCAGCTGGCTGGTTGCTGTTATGCACAGGGCGATCTCAAGGCTTTTTTGCTTTGACCTATGACGAGTGTATGCAGGGACGCGATGTCAATCCGAGACTAGGATCGGGAGGCTGACCCCACCAGTTTGTTAGTGGTCCTTTTGCCAGCAATGATTTTACACTGCATTTCTCTAGTAGGACCCTGGCCTTGATTGATGTTGTTGGATTCGCATTCCTCTATGGATGTTTTGGCCATGTTCTAGTGGTTCGTGATTGGGGTAGCTTGGGTACGCATCGGTGAATACCGTGTGTCACCGCTAAGCTTCGATCTGACATCCTTCGCGCCGCTAATTGTTAGCGACATCGCGCCTGGTGGACTCGATCGCTTCTTTTTCGATGCACCCCAATACTTGTTCTCTCATCGTCAATCACAATTATTCGCTTGCGTGACTGAAATGCGTATGTGGAGGGGAAGCATCTCTCTATTGATTGCAGCGCCGCGTTTGAGAGTTTACAACCTACGCTTACATAGACAACCCAGTGGTACCGATTGTGTGGGACATGTTTAGGTGGGGCTACGGGTCCCAGTCTTTTCTAAGGGTAGAGAACCTGACTCAACCACAGTGCCATAATACTTTAACAAGAGCTTCGAATGCCTCAATGATCGTCGTGGCAGGAATAATTGACCCTTTGGTTATGGTGTCTTCCGAATGTGGCATTCCGATCAATGCCAACGTCTGCGATACACTCTAACCTCACTAAAATATATTATGTGCTAGCTGAAAAGAGGTCTTGTCCCTTCACCGATATGAATCGTAGTTGAGAAAAGACGCCGGGTTCGTGGGAACCGAAAAGTTTTCGCAGGACCACAGCACAACGGCCTGGAATAATATGTGCGCAGCCCTGATCATCTCTCGTATGATTAAGGAGCCGCGCTTTTGGCGAGGACATCACCGCCAAGTCGTTGGATAAGATCTCGACCTCAGCCCAGCTGAAAGCTTTGATTAGACAAGCGAATCACAGCTAACCTTAGCCCGTCGATCTAATCTGTGCGCTCAATCGCCTACAGAAGGGCAGTGCAAAACCACGACTCAGCTGTGGCATCTGTAACCTCAGTCCCGCGGTCCACGCTCCAGTAAGCCCGCGAAAGCACCCTGCCAAGTCGGGCTGTGTCTGAATCAAGCCTACGCTTACACCACTCCCGCCACGGGGTTGCTTTCAATTGGAGTCGTTTATCACAGCCTTGCCACTTGCAGCGTTCGCCATTATAACCTTGTCCCGCTGCCAGCGCTACCCAGACGCCAACGCCTGGATCGCACTACTTTTAATGGCTGGTACAATGTTTCAATGAAACGGGCCAGAGATAGGGGGGGCACGCGACACAATAATATGAGGCTCTCTCGCGCCTTGCGGCCTGGAGCGCAAACGAGTTGCTCGCATCAACACTTTTGATTTTGTTATCTTTGCAGGTGAACACAGCAATCACCATGACGGAGAAGGCTCAGAGCACGGCCAGTGTGTCCAATGGCACCAAGGGAGATTCTTCAAAACGGCCGCCGCTGAAAAAGCAAGACAGCGACAAGGACTTTGATGATTACTTTGTATGTCTTCTTTTTCTCACGACAGCACTGTGTCTAGTTACTAACATTGATCAGATTGGCCCACGCGACCTCGATCACCACTCGAAATGGCCCGTCTTTCTCCGTGTTCACGGCAGTGTGACACCAGAAATGGTGTTGCCTCTGTTGTTTGTGGGCGGTTGGGCCAGCATGATTACACTGATATCAAAATTCGTGCATGACCGTAAGCATTCCACAACTGCTTCACTGCCTCGCAAACATGTACTGACTACACCCCACAGTCAGCGTCAACCAGCTCCTGCTCACTGTCCTCGGTTTCGTCGTCGGTCTCGCACTGAGCTTCCGAAGCTCCACAGCCTATGAGCGCTACAACGACGGCCGCAAATACTGGGCCCAACTCACCTTCGCATCCCAGAATCTCGCCCGCCTCATCTGGATCCACGTCGACGAGCGCCACGACAAGGACCCGGAGCTCGGCAAGCAAGACCTCCTGGCCAAAATCAACTGCCTGAACCTCATCGCCGCCTACGCCGTCGCACTCAAGCACAAGCTCCGCTTCGAGCCCTACGTGCACTACGACGACCTCCAGCACCTAGCCGGCCACCTCGACACCTTCGCCCGCGAAGCCGACCAGCCCGATGTCAACAAGAAACCCAGCGTGCTCAAAACCGCCGGTAAATTCCTGGGTCTCCCCATGGCCGAATCCAACCCGCGTAAACTCCTCAAGCGCTCGCGCGTGCCCCTCGGCAACCTCCCCCTCGAAATCCTCAACTACCTCAGCATCTACATGAAATCCATCTACGACAACGGCACCTTCAAAGTATCAATCTACCAGACACAGTCACTAAATGCAATCACGACTTTCAATGACGTTCTCGCGGGCACAGAGCGCATCCTGTCAACCCCCTTGCCCATCGCCTACAGCATTGCTATCAGCCAAATCACTTGGGTCTACATCTTGCTTCTCCCCTTCCAGCTGTACAAACTCCTCGGCTACATCACCATCCCAGCGAGCATCTTCGCCGCATACATAATCCTCGGTATCGCGCTCATCGGTCGCGAGATTGAGAATCCCTTCGGCGACGACGTGAATGATCTCCCGCTCGACGCGTTCTGTCTGCAGATCAGAAAAGACATTGATATCATCATGAGTAAGCCGGCCTCGAGTATCGAGGAAGTGGTTATGCATCCGGAGAATCAGCTCTTGTACCCGCTGAGTAAGCTGGGCAGTGCAGGGTGGGCGGCTAAGAGTGTGGAGGAAATTAGGGATGCGCTGGCGAGTAAGCCGGACTTGCACTTTCCGTTGGTAGAGCATGATGAGCATCCTAGACCTAGTCACTCGGGCGGTGCGGGGCTTCGTCGTCGCGCGACGAATGAGCGCCGTGCTGAGGAGGGTGAGGCGGGACATAGTGTATGCAGTAGCAATGCAGGCGGTGATGCTGGGGATTAAGTGAACCAAGGGTTGTATTCCACCTAGATAAAACAGATATTCAGATAATTAAACTAAAATGTTAACTTTTGTTCTCAAAATTGAGATAGTTGAAGCCTGGATCAGGCGAGGTAACCGTCTCGCACTCATCCTCCACCCCCAGAACATAGCAAATTAACTTTTTCGGAATTCATATCATATCCACTGATCCCAGGGAATGATAACTTTCCGTCTTGGAGATCACACTGTCTTGCCCATCCTAAGCATAAGCATCTCCAAAGCCCTCATTCTCCATGGCCAATTCACGGACTCCCAGGCAACAAGCACACCTATCGCTGCACCGCGTACCCTTCTTGCAATAGTGATCCGTGGAGCAGAACCCATAACGGCAAATCAGCACGCCGGTGCGATCATTCGAGCATTCGTATCTCTTCTTTTCCTTATCGTCAAATGCCAGAGCGTCTTTCTTTGCCATGGCTACATGCGTCTCGGTCGAGGTTTCAGTGATATGAGGGTGATGAAGACTAAGATTGCAAACATGTTAGGAAATCCGTCTTAAGATATCACTGAGGCATGCACTGGACTACTCACATAGGCTTTGCATTGTTGTGTCCAGCGGAGTGAGTGTTAGTTGGTGCCTCCTTTGCCGTAGTGATAGCAACGGCACTGGACAAGGCAATCGTAGGCGACGCAACAGCCAATGCCGTCAGGCCAACAAAGGCAGCGGAGGTAGTGAAGAGCTTCATTGGAGCGTGTTTGTGTACGTGGATGTAAGTTGGTCGTCACGTTGAAGAGAGAGTTGTGTTATTGAGAGGAAAGTGAACGAGTGAGTAGAGACGCTGCGTGAAAGAGAATAAGCCCCTAGCGACGGTGAATTTAAACCGTGTGAGAAAGATGGAGAAGCATTTCGAGAATGATGAAGTGGAGCATAGTGAGAGGCCCCGAAGTGAAGCAAAAGGAAGGAGCAAACAAACCCACTGCCTACCTCATCCAAGCCAGTACGTCACTCTGCCAAGCACTAAACTGAACCACCAACACCAGCCTCAAAGTCGTGCTTAGTCTTTATAAACTAGGATCAATCCAAATGATAATGCTTGATGGGCGTTCCTGCACCAACAGCACTGGTCAAATCACTCCCAGAGTGCGGTCAAGCTAACAGTCGGATTCACCACACTAGTCACACACGTAAATGTAAGGCAGCACATGTTCAATTGATAGATGAACAGGCATTTTGAATGAAAACGAATACTTTTGGTCATATATCGAGTCTACCAAACGAAAGAACCTGTTGTCTATCGCTTGGCGTAAAAATAAACGCACTCATCCCTCCAAACCTCTATATAACGCCGGGTCATGCAGTTCTGCAAAGTCTAAGATATCGTGCGGTTGTAACACCAAAAAAAGTCATAAACGCATCTAGTCGGCCTCGTCATCAGTGTTGGGAGGTTGGGGTGTGCCCTGACCGCTTAGTTAGTGTCATACTCAAGTTGCTTATGATGGGAGAAAGACATACCTTGGGACTGTTCAGCCAGTCAATGTACCTCAATCTTCTCCTAACTTCCCGGTCCTTGAGTTCCTTCTTGGTCATCTTCTTCTTCTTCCTGGCCCTGAACTTCATGTCGTCCTTGCCACCCTCGGCTTCACTCATGACAGGAGTGCCGTTGGTAGATGGAGCTGCGGAGCTCACGTTGCTGCTCACGTTGCTGGATCCTGGGCGCGAGTCTTCGAAACGGTCCATGTTAACGGCAAGGTGGCCCTTGTGGGTAACGCGGCCATCGGCAACATGCCATTGCTCAGGGCACAGCGCACCAACAAACTCTTCGTTGTGGGAAATCATGATGACACCACCCTTGTATTCACGAATGGCAACAGCAAGTCCACCAAGGGAGTCACGATCCAAGAAGTTGGTAGGCTCATCAAGGACGAGAAGATGAGGGTTGTTCCACATGGCGCCAGCTATGTATATGTTAGCAATGATTCGTCAGTATTGCAAATGAAGTGTACGTACCGAGCACAACCTTGACCTTTTGTCCTCCAGAGAGACCGGAGATTTCGTTGTGGTTCGCAATCTCAGGGTCCAAGCCAAGATCCTCAAAGTGCTTAGAGATGACCTTGGGCTCGAGGACACGGTAACCGAGACCCTCACGCGAAGACTCGTGGTCATCGAATTCCTGAACGAGCTTGGTGAAGCCCTTCTCCATCAAAGTCTCACGGGAGATGTGCGAGTTGAACTTGGGCAGCATGTGGAGCCACTTGACCTCGTACTGGAATGACTTCTTGAACTTGGAACGA